GCATCCGTGGTTCCATAGATCTTCCATTTACTCATTGGTGCTGATCCATTGTTCAGCATGATATTGTCTTTTTTTCTTTTGCCAGGACTGAGAAATAAATCTTCCCCTTGGATTGTCAAGGTTGCGTTTCTGCACTCCCATTTCTGGAATTTGCTTTCCTTGTTGCAGGGGTACAAAGAAATTCGAGCCTGTTTTTGCTTGTAGGGCACTCCCAAACATTGTGCGAATGCCACACTCATCATCTGGTGATCAGACACCCACCTGAATTTTTGTAACTCAGTGTTTTTGTTGCAAGCAGCTGTTGTGACTGCATGAGGATTCTGAGCAATTAAACAGAGCTTAGTATCCTCATTATATATTAAAAATATTTCATCATCTGTAAAAGAAAATAATCAGAATTAAGATTTTTATAGTGTGGGAAGTTTGCAAGGGAAAAGGTGTTGTTGATTCTATACTGACTCATATCAAGAGACTAGATCTTAGTCACTTTTGCAAAGATCAAACAGCATTTTTAAGACTTCCATTTCCTTCTGGAAATGAAAAATAAGTGCAGTTCATGTAAATACAATAGAGAGGAATAAGAGCACATAAAATACGGTATGAATGTCATCGCCGTAATAGAATTTTCATTAGTATAGTGGATTTTGTTTTTCAAAAGGCCTGCTGAAGTACATATTTCTTTCATGATTTCTGAAAGAGACCTTAATGAAGATTTTGATCTTCATCTTGACATCACTTCATAGGCTATTGATTTAGCTCATGCTACATCCATCTCCACAGGGTTGGAGTTGTGCTTAATACAGTTTGTGAATGAGCCTTCTGTGATCCTTGCTCCCTCTGTATTGGCATGCTCTGCTATTGTTTGGGGGGCACTTTTTAGGATTAAAAACTATGGAACAGTGACTTGTTATCTTGCTTGTTTCAATATCCTCTCATTGGTATTTATATAATAAGAAGTCAAAATAATTCACACAATCAATCAGAAACATTCTTATAAGAACCAGCACTGGACAGTAAAGATATAGGTGTGTGCCCACGCATTGTTATGGAAAGACAGCATATTAATGCTAAACATGCTAGCTAATGCTCCCAAGGGATTATAGGCAGCCTAGTTTAGTAATCCATTAAGACAAGTGGTCCTTGCTGGGAAGGGCTGCCCAGTATTGCATTTGTGCTGCCAACTTTGGAAGTGGCTCGTTCAGTGCTGGTCATTGATCTGTGAACACAGGTGCCTGCTTTTCACATGTCAAGTAATACACATCTCCCATTGGCTTTGGGTTGCAAGGGAGTGAAATTTGGACTGCAGGGAATATTCTAGGACCTATGGGACAGGAGAGCAAGGCTTTGCCCTTTGGTTTTCTGTGCCTCAAGTCCTCACATGGAAACAGAAAAGTAACATCACCCTGGTATCCATCTGAGAGAATAATCACATAAGGGAGAGTGAGATACCCTTCCAAAAACTAAAATAAATTTGTAGGACAAGGATAGGATGTTAGGGCCCAGCCAATGTTGAGTAGTGAACAGAGCAGAAAATGCCTGGGAAATTCTGAGAAGCAATGACAGGAAGAGTAGTTCTTGTTAGGGTATCTATATTTAATGTTTGAGCTCTCCAAAGAAGGCCTTGGATTGCTTGGACCAGCTTAGCACGTTATGGAAGTTTCACTTCTTCACATCTATATTTGGAGCTAAGACTTATTTTCTTCTTTCCTTGACCATTTATACAGAAAGTTTTAAGTTTTATTAAATATTTTATTTCTTACTGCTAAGTAAGTACTTCATGCAGCGCCCTAAGTTTCATCTATTGCCTCTCCTATAACTTTGGGTTCTAATAATAGGAGTTCTCACTGGAAACTACAAGGTTCATGCTTAGGCTATAAAGTGGGTTTGAGTCCCAGCTCACAGAGCAGAGATTGCACCCTCTTTTTGCACAGGCTAGTGCTGGCACAGCTCACATGGCACAGTGTCTGCTTTCAGGAGCTGTGATTTGTACCCCACTCATCCACAAATCTAGTTAACTGAAGAATAAAGGAAAAATGTCCTTGAACCTTATCACCATCCTAACATCAAAAGGGAGCCGTGATCTGTCCTTGGTCAACTTCAGAGCCTTAACTATGCCTCTCATCCTTACCCTGAAAGCCACAGTGGTTATTCCATGACTTCTCAAGTGACCTTTTAAAACTTATACAAAATGTTATGAGAAAGTTTAACTTAACTTTTTTTCACTGGCATCTGCTCAGCCACAGTATTACATCTCACATCAAACCCAAAGCTCCATCTCATCCCACACAACCTCATTGTAAGGCTAGGAGACACACATACAGCATGCTACGTAATTCCTTTCCCTTTTCCATTTTTTCATAACAGTCACACATACAGAGAAAGAATATGGAGCACGCTGTGAAGTCCATCTACTTCACAGAGCAGATCAATAATTAGGTTTATCCAAAAAAGAAATATTCATCCACATAGGAGGCTCTGTCTTGACTTCTGATTCCCATCTTTACCCGATGTTGACTCTTCCCTTCTCTTTAAAAGTGAACCAACATCTCAGTGTCTGCGTAATTTTTTAACTTCTGGGAATCACTCCAATTAAGATTAATATGAAACCCAGGACAGTCAGGCTGCATGAAAATCTTAAAGAGCCTGAGAAACAAGCAAGACAACAATGTCTACTTTCACATCCACTTTTCCTGGGGATAAAAAGCAAAGACTCACCGAGTGTCTGAAAAGCAGTATCAACAAAAGAGAGGAAAACTAAGACGGTAGAAAAAGTCAAGTGCTTCATGTCTTTCTTCTTCTTCATAAAAATATGAGCTGAAATTAGTTGTTGCAGTAGAAGTCCTTAAGGAACCAGTTGATGCAGGCTCCTTCTTTGTTTTAGAGAGTTTAAGTTGAAAGAGAAAACTCTGGGCTCTAAATAAGGAAATATCCTGTCACGTGTGGTATTTTGAAATCTATAAACAATTACAAAATTCAAACTTTGCATCTGAAAGTGAAGTTTCCTTCCATTCAAGTGCAAGTGGCAGTTTGAACAGTTCTACATTATTCACCTGAATTATTTTTAGTTTTCTTGATTCTGGTCTGGGATTGTAAATTCTTGGCCCTCAAAGACAAACAAGCAGGGGAGTGCACTTTAAATGGATGTGTTTTAAATCTCGTACATACGTATCTGGGAAACTCAGGAAAAATGTATTCAAATTTCTTGGCCAGGTCAGTCTTTACTGCAAAAAACATATGTGTTCCTTTTATTTTGATGCACAAAACAATGTCAACTATTTCAGTGTGAAAAATTAACCTAGATGGAATGATTTAATTTTGCTCAGTAACTTGACAAATGGCACTATGTATATACCTGGCTTTTATCTTCTCCAGTTTATCAACTGGTGAAAATCCTGCTCTGCTATTTCATATGAATTTATCTCAGGAGATCAAATACAAATTAGCCAAACCTTATGAATCTTTCTGCTAACCAGTGATTATGACAACAAAACTGCCTTTCAAAATTATTTAGTTCATAAAGTACAAAGGAATTTTAATACCCAGTAGTTTTACCAAGTGTACCAAGTGTAAAAGAGATGAGTAAAGAAGGACATTCTTAAACATTACAAATGAGATGCAGCCCTTAATTAAGTGGAAATCAACTTCATCTATGATGCAAAATCCCTTGTTTGTTTTGAAGGAAAAGAACTAAAGATATACAGCAAAAATCTCCTTTAGAATTCTTTCTCATTTTTCATGGGTTTATCGTGATGACAAATTTCACAACATACTCTGCAAGGGCAAAATGTAAAAGAAGCCCATTTACACAGTATAGGGTCTTCAGAGTTATGTTATCATTATTAACTATCAAAATATCAGAATTACAAATAATTATATTATTTCAGGTTGGTTTGTTTGCTTTTTTATCTGTTTACTCTTTCTATTTGTGCTGCCTGTATCATTAGCCATCACATAAAACAGCACTGTATCCAGATAAATATGGGTATGCCTTGCAACTCACATGAAGGGGAAGGGTGGGAAAAAAATAGGTGTGGGATCAAGGGGACTGTCATTAAAAATTGTTTGAGTACAGAGTGCCCTTCATTCTTTGCAGTAAGTTTTATATGACTGAAATATCTACAAACCAGCAATCCAAAGTAATGTGACTCTCTCCTTCGCAATGACCTCTCCTGGACGGTTCTTATGTACTTTCCATGGGTCTGTTTTTCCCAGAGATCCTTGTGATCTCTTTCTATTTTTTCTGCAGTCTGTCACTGACAACATGGAATTCACAGAAAAAAGCACAGTAAAACTCAAAACATTTCACTAACAAGTGTCCCACTGCCTTCCTGGCCAGCAGCATGGCTACAGTGCCTGGCCATCAGTCCATTTGTCAGAGTTGGAGGATAGGAAGAGAAGTAATTCTAAAATAAATGGTCAATTGAAATAAAACCAGGAATTGATTCTTCCAGCTTTATTTGTCATCCAGGTTATTTTATAGTTTGTTTATTCTTCTATTTAGTCCTATGCCTTGTTCACATTCATGTGTTTCATCCTGGTAGCCTGTCTCTTTATGGGAACTCAGATCATCAAACAATGTAACATCTCTGCATGCAAATTAAGCAACACTGGAGTATTATTATGTAAGACAGATCCTTTATTGATATATATTCTTTACTGATACAAAACATCAAAAGTCATAGAATATGACTGTTTGCAAAGATTTACTTGTTTTGAAAAATCCAAGCCGCAAAGGAAGGACAAGTAGTTTCGTTTGACTTATAATACTAGCCAAGGAAGATACTCGTGTAGAGTGTAAAACGAGACAATAATGGGTAAATGAATGTTTTATTAACCACTTTATACAGTGCTGAGTCTTAGTTTTGAGACTATTTCTTGAAAAGCATAGAGCAACAGCTCTTAATCCATACCAAATATTTGCTGATTTTAGTTCATTGTGTCTTTTAGGTTCATGTAACTTGTTTTTAAGCCTAACTAGATAGTTTGGTTGTGTTGTCCTATTAGACAATGCTATGTTCATTTTTTTCTTTGTTGTCAGTAGAATAATTTTCATTGTCCTTTCTAGGTAGGATATGGCTGTATTCTACCAGTGTGCTGTGCTGCCTTGCCTTTCTCTCAATCTCACACTGAATTTTGATCTTGAATAAGTAGTAAATCATCAAGCCCACTGCTAATAAAATGATGACAGCCAGAGTAAGCAAGATCCACATGTTCGTGTCACCATGTCGTTTGTCATTTTTTATATCTGTAAATAAATACAAAGCAAATAAAACTGGGTGTACATAAATAAATATGAAGAATACTGAAAACTATCAGCCTAGTTTCCCCCTGATTACTTGGGTGTTAGTTAGCATCCTGTATTCTTGAAGGAAATGGAATATAACCTCAACATCTCCTGACCTTCTTCCGCAGTTCTCTTGGGGCAAAGATAGGACAGTGGGCAAAGAAGCTATGATCATTAAGGTGTAGATATTATTGTATGGGTGTTTTTTAGGATAAGAGTTTAATTTTAAAAATCTTTCAAAATGTCCCTGTGTCAGTCCCCGTCATAGAACTTAATATATAACAAAAGAAGCAAAGAGGGCAGAATCAGTTTACCAAAGCATTTAGTTATCCTGGGATGCCCTAAGTGTCTCAGAAGTACTGTCATATTATGCTGGAAATTAATTCAAGGGCAACTAAGTAAATTAAGTTGATATGATATGATACGATACGATACGATACGATACGATACGACATGACATGACATAACATAACATAACATAACATAACATAACATAACATAACATAACATAACGTAATGTAATGTAATATAGTAAATACCAATTCATTTAAAAAATCCCAGTAATCTTTTCATGTTTCTGAAAATATTGGGAAGAAAAAAATAGATCTTACCTTCCATGTCTGCAGCTGCTTTAGGAATTGCTGTCAAAGAGAAAGGCAAGCATTTAGTCAAATCAAAAAGTCACACTTTCATCTTGACAGTTTCATGTTAGCAAAAGTTCTGGTTACCTGTGCATCAAGATTACCTCATCATTTCACCTGGAAACACATTTGCTAAACTAGCAAGATGTTCTTCATTTTTATCCTGCTATTCACTATAATAAAACTGCAGTGTTTTGCATATCAAATCCCCTTTCTTGTATTTTTTTAATACCCAAAGAATCTGCAAGCACAGTTATTTTATGACTGTTCGAAATGGACTCTCTCTTCTTCCCTGATTAAAAAATCTTGCCCTCTTCACTGGGTCTGCATGCCTGCAGACACTGGGAAATACTTAATCATACACTGAGGATATTTTGCAATTTTCCTGTCCTGCATACAGGTCCTTTGAGACCTAGCAGATTTTCATTTACCCTAATTCATTTGCATCTATATATTTGAATATATAAGTTTGACCTCTCTTATGCAGTTATTCCCAGTCATGCAAAGGGGGCGCCATCAGCAAGATAATTCTCTGGGTGTACACTGGATGATGGCCAGTGTCAGAGGAGAGCATCCCCATGGGCAGTGGGAGCCAAAGGCAGAGTCTTGGAGTGCAGGTTCTGGAGTAGGATGCTCCAGGAGCCAGGCTGCTGCTGCAGAAATACAGCAACACATTCAGCTCTGGCATGTTTGTTAGCATAGAGAAAAAAACTGTGAAATTGCCCCTTGGACAGAGGCAGAGCTCACTGTAATGTGAGATTTGCTTGAGCTGACACCCCATTCTGCTGGAGAACCTGATGTCAGGAATATTCTCTGCACTTTGGCATTGCACTTTGGCATTGCACTTCGATGCCACTAGCAGTCTAACCTGACAAAGTATGTGTTGAAACTGAGTTTCTGCTTTCTAATATACTCGGTATTGAAGAGTTTGTTTTCTGTAGTGTCTATTTCTCTGACTAGCCAAAGAAATTCAGGAGTTGTCCTAGAGGACAACTACTGTAAATGTGCACAGCTGCTTTCCCTGCCAGCTGAAATTTTGCTCTGGGAGGGGAAAGGACAGAACCTCAGAAACATCCCAAATCTTAGGGTTGCGAAACAGGGCAGGAAATCATACTTTTTTTGCAGAATTAACAGTTAAGCTCAAAAATGCCTCATGACTGCTTGGCTCATGATATTCTGATATTTCTGCTTCCTGACCAGAGCAGATGGTGCTAATGAAAACACTTCTACTATTTTCAAAGCTCACTATACACGCTCTGGATCATGCTTCTGTTCTGTCATTATTTAAATAGAATTGCTTCATCCACCTCTTACTAGAACGCTATGTGTCATAGTACAGCAACGGGAAGAAAAGCAAATTATTGATGCAACCCTTATTCCATGGGAGGTGAATACCAACGCTAGCAGGAAAAGAGGTGTGTATGCTCGAGGGGAGCAAAACTACAAGGGAGTTTAAAAAAATTCCAGAAAATATTGACCATCTTCAATTATTAATTGAATAATGCAAGAAATTCTGAAGTTACCGAGCAATAAATAATGAACATGAAAACAAACAAACAAAAAAGGATAACTCTATATATCCTTTTTCTTTTTTTTTGTCTGAATGCTGAAGGAGGTGATAAGCAAGACTGTAAAAACAACATTATATGCCAGTCTGTCTGATGACCGTATTGTGCTCTTACTGCTCAAATAAACCCATGAACATCAAGGGCAAATATTTAAAAAATCACTTACTCTTTGGTTTCTTACAAATAAAACCCTTTTGGGAAGAGCAAGGAAGGAAACTCCAGTAGCCGGTGAATGTGGACAACTCCACGCAGTAATCGAGCAGCTCCCCGGAGGGCTGGCCTTCACCCCAGTTGACAAAGTCTAAGGCACTGTTGTCTTGCCACAGCAGCTGCCCTAATTTTGCAAATGTTAGTAACAATACTAATAGTTCCACATCAAAGATTATCACTAATACTAGTGAACATTATTACTTTACTTAGCCTAATAAAGCAATATTACTTTCTTTAAAAATTCTATCAGTGGTTATTTTCTAATGCATTAATTTTTTTAAGTCACTTCTTAAAAGCAATATAATTGCTTTTACAAATTATGATTTGCAGATTTGCCAATCATAAATTAGTTTTAATCTACACATCCCTGTATTTTTACCTAAGGTGCTAAAGTTTCCAACTGAAAAAAAATAAAAATAAAGTTAGTTGTTTTTTTTTAATTTCTCAATTATTATGTCAGCAGCAATCATAGAAAATCAAGCAAATTTGTTACTGTGATGTTTAAACATATGTTTTGTTAATATTATAACATTTCTTTTTTTTAATAAACTGTGAAACAAAAATTTTGAAGGATTAATGAGTTTAAATTAATCTTAAAAAAAAACCAAAAAAAACCTTTCTGACCAATTATGAATGGACACTAGTGTCGTTTTCTTCCAGGTGCACGTTTCATTGCACTCTCTTTCTGGTAGCTAGCAGCCTAATTTTTTTCATACAAAGAAGCTTGATGCTGTGGGCTCCAGCTAGATACCCACAACTCCCAAGCAGGTGGTCCCCCACCATGAGAAGGTGAGACCCAGATAAGACATGTTCCCCACTGGGGCACAGAGCAAACAGAAGGGCAAAGACATTCTCACAGACTGAGAATAGGAGACATGCCCTCAGCAACTGCTGATGTCAGAGGGACTACACATCATTGGCTGTGGTCCTCTGTGAAGGTCCTTGCTGACACTGAAACCATAAGCAGCTGTGCAAAATTATCATCAGTTGCAGCATTCCTGGATTATTCAAATTTAGAAATGAGACTCCATGATTGCCTCAGGTATAGGCAGCTGAAATACATGTTATATCCTGCTTTCTTAAAGAACAGTATCTTCTGTGTTGTGCCTCTCAAGATCTCAAGAGATTTCTTTCACCTCTCTGCACCTTTGCTACTGAACCAGATATAGACAAGATATTTGAACTGAGACAATCCCTTATGCATCATCCCTTTGGCAGATCCATGCAACATCCAAGATCCCTAACTGACACCAAGCAAGTTTGCTTTCTACGACCTTTCCCACCTATTGGATAAAACCATCAACTTCCAAGAATGTATAGATTATGTGCAATCAATCTATCTTTTTCTTTTTAACCAGCTTCTATGGCACTTAGTACCTTAACAACAGTGCATCTTACACATATTTCTGCCCATTTAATGAAGTCTATTTTATTATTATTTATAGAAGTTAAAATAGTTACCGTTTACATTTCTGTATATTCCTATCCAAAAGCCACTTGTCTTGCTTGTGTAGAAGTCTGCATGCTTTGCTAAAAAGTTTGATTCAGCCAGATCTTCTACAGAAGTCAGCATACCACCTATAAGAAAACCAAGATGATTGGAGATGTTCCCTGCTATAGAAATCAGTGGTCATTATAACCTTTGATATAGGGTAAGGTTAGTAATAAAACTTCTCCTGCTGGTAAGGACTAAACAAGGATTTAAATCAGTAAGTACTTCTCAGCTGCAGGTGAACATCACAGACTGTGAGTGATATGATGAGAAATGAAAGAGGTGAAAGCACAGTGAAGATGTTGATTTTTAAACAACAGGCAAAATACACATTATTTTCAAGTGTTTGGACAATATTTGTCATAGTTGTTATGGATGATTTTTTGTTCTTCATAGTTTGACAGGATGTTATGTAGTATGTGATATTGTACAGCAAACAAATCTGCAATTCAAACTGAAGGGTTAGTTTTTCTGGCAAAGACGGTGGAGGAAGACAGCTAAGAGGATCTAAAAAGATATGAAGCAGGATCCATTTCTTTGGAGAAGTATAGTTCTTCCCTTTCTCTTTCACTGCCTCCCAAAGCATGGATGAAGCATCTGATGATTCAGCAGCACAGGTGGAAGAGAGCCAAGGAGCAGCTTATGGTCTTGGCCAGGACCAGATGCTTTCAAGATTGAGGAGGGAAGCACTTGCCCTCCCCTGGCTCTGCAGGTGCCAGGGAACTCTGCCGATAGCAGCAAGGACTTTCAGGCAGAACATGCAACCCATTTGGGACCACAAAACTCATTTAAAAAATAAGTCTTTGTTATTATATTTACTCCTACTTTTTTGGAGAGAGAGATGAAAAAGAAGGGATAATGCCAGAAAGACCTTAAAACATTTTAAATTTTAATAAAAAGATAATTTTTTTAAATGAAGAAGTGTAACAAGAAACAAGCATATCTGAGGGGAAACAACAAAGCCAAACAAAAAAACCAAACCAAAACAAAAAGAAACCCCAAACCAACAAACCAACCAACCAACCAACCAACCAACCACCTAAAAAAAAACAGAAAAAGAAACCCAACACACACCAAAGAAAATGATCACCTTAATTTCAACATTACTGAAAAACAAAAGGCCTCAGCAGTGAAAAATTATACATTTATTTCCTTTATTAAAATGTGCAGATTTTTCAGCATTAGTTTTCAATACTTCTTTTAAGGTTGTGTTGGGTTTTTTTAAGTCAAAATTGAAATACTGTCTTTGGGCAAAAGAAATAATTACCTGATTGAATGCATTGAGCCACAGACTGAGCCCAGCTCATTTCATTGGCATTGAAGTTATAGCAGTAGCTTCCAAAAGGAATCCAAAATCTGTGATCTGATTCAGGACATTTTCCAATATCCTGAGGGGGATCAGAAGGAAGTACATCTGGAAGAAATGAGATAGTATGGATGCTTTCACATAGTAGGGGTTGCAGTTCTTCAGATATGCAATCAAGATTTTTTTTAAAAAAAAAAACTTCCTTAAAGATACTTAAAATATTCTTTGGCACACAGTGCATAAATTATCAGTGACTCTGTCAGGAGTGACAACAAGGAGCAGAACTGCTCAGGCACAGCTGAATGACCCATTGTGAACCTGAGCTCTTCTGTGTGAATCAAACTTGGACTCTCAAGGGTGCTGGAGTGTTCTGGCATTTTTGGTTACAGTTTATTTTGTTATAACCAACAAATATTTATAAATGAAGAATACAGTAAAAAGCAGGAAAAGAAAAGCCACAAAATTCCTAAACCCTCAAGAGATTCAAGTAAATTTGATTTGAAATTAAGTATCATCTAAATCATAGTTTACTGTGGAAATTTCTCATTTAATATTTTCTCCAAGATAATAATTCTTACATAAAATTTCTGAACAGCTTTAACTCTGGCAATGCATGGAATAATCTGAGGGTCTTTGAATATTTATGTAGAAGACTGTCATTTTCCTGCAAGCAAATGAATGAAACAGTAACACTGTCAGTACACACATTTTTAAAATGAAAGTTACACATGAATTTATATGAAGCTCAGAGCGTGGCCTGGAAAATAAATTAAAGAAAAACTACAGAAAAATAGATTAAAAGAAACTCAGAATTTCCATCAACTGTGTGTCACAAGGGCTAACAGTGGTTGCAAATTAGAAAGCAAAAAGGTAATGTTAGCTTGTAGCATTTAATTTGTTGTATTCTGAAGTGACACTGATAGAATCACTGTGAAGTATGAAATTATTTTTGGACCAGTAACAAACTCTTTTTTTCCCAGGTGCAATTCTTCCTCCTTCCTCATTTTTTAGAATCTAGTAACAGTGATTCCAAAACCAGTGTATGAATGCTGCTTACATTAATGGAACAAAATTTATTTTATACTCAGTGGACTTCATTGATTACAATCCTCCCAAAAAAATTCCTATCTGCCAAAAATTTCATATTGAAATCTCAAAATTGAATGTTTAGTACTCCCACAATCTCTAAGCATTGTCTGCCGTGATGTAGGATATGGCAGTTATCATCCCAGTCCAGTAAAATGGCAGTATTTTGGATGGTGAATGACAACTCCATCAAAATAAAACATTGTTCATGTAAAATAAAGGTATTAGCCTTACATAATGAGGCCTATTATCCTTAGATATATACTCAGAAATCTGTATTTCATGCAAAGCAGGTTAAGCAAGGTTTCTACCATAAAACTGAAACTCGGCACCATAGCTTACGCTCAGATTTTTTGCAGACAGGAAAATGCTTTTCATTGCAAGGCGCTGTTTTCCAGGTCCCCTGGAGACCTAGATAGACACAGGCTATTTGCTGGTTTGGTTCTCCATAGTCCCAATGAGAAAAAATTATTTTCCTTTTATCTGTCCATCTGTAATAGCCGTAAGTCTAAAATTGAAACACACATTTGATATATTTTTTCTACACTGTCACCTGCTGTTTCAGGTAAATTATTTATGCAAATTCACGTTTTCACAGTGATTTATAGACCTCAGTTTGTATATCTGTCCTAGTACTGTTAAAATATTGAATCAGGACTTAACAACATAAAAGTAAGACACAACAGTATGTCTCCCATGCTGAAACACCTCATGAAGGTATTTTGGAGGCTAAATGGTGCAGTAGCCCTGATGATCATGTTGGTCCCTTTGAGAAGGATTCACCACTCCTAAAAATGACCATCTAAAAGTTAACCAATTAGTTCGACATAGGCGTCCATAAGATTCCCATAGAGTTAGGAAAGAGAATCCCACAATGTCAGAGGTTCCCATCCTTCTCTGTGGCCTAATACGGAGTTTAATGATTTAATATAAAAGAAGTTAAATTAAGAGAATGCTGTCCACTAGTTCTAGGTTCCTTTATCTGCTCATGCTACAATTCCCCCTGCTGATAGCAATGCAGCCACAGTATTTAACCACACCACCTATCAATTTATTAATCTTACCACATTGCTGTTGAGCCCAATCCATAAGGACTCTCCATATTGCACTGCCTGCAGCAGCAGGTATATATTACTGTAATAATCAAAAATGCTGGCAAGCTCTGAAGATTTCTCCTTGCAGGCTTTTCTTGCTTCCTCCCAACTCATTTTAGAAGGAATGATTGAGTAGCTGCTGTTACCATAATGGATGAAACCAGAAGCTGGAGCAGTTGTGGAATGCCACAGTTCAGGCTCTGAAAGAAAGGGGTACAAATTCAAGAAGGGGAGAAAACAGTGCAAATTACTTTTGAGCAACAGATTATTGTAGTGTGGCAGCACCAGCAGCAAGTAATGCTTGCTAACAGTAACTTGGAATTATTTGTAACTATAGCGTAAATAATGTATTCAGGGATTAGGGAGAGGCAGAGGACAAGCTGTCTGTATGTATGGACATACAGTGCACCAGATGAAAGGATGGGAATAGTGGTCCTATAGTGGTCCTCTCTCCCGAGCTCTCCAGGTTTCCCTCCAATAGTGCAGGTGAAATTCCTCCCAAGCACAAGCATGGTGCAGAATCTTCACACAACTTCAGTCTCAAAAGAGGGGTGAATTTCATCCTAAGCAAAGTTTGTAGATCTGCTGCTGCTACTTTCCCATGTAAAATGAAGTGAAAAAGGAAACTGTATTTGTACCTTGAAATATACACGTGGAAGTGGAGGACAAAGACCTAGAGCTAGTGATGGGGACAGGAAAAAGGACAAAAACTGCCTTTGTGTTCAATCAGTGTCAAGAATGCCCTGGCATTAGTTTTTGCTAGTGACAATCTTATGCAACTTTCTGCACTTGCACAGGACAGAGCTGTGAAGTATCTGGTCCACTTGTGGCTTCTTCCTGTATTTTTACTTGCTGCTCAGCAGTTCCCTCTTCCTTTTCCTGTGGACTCTGCAGTGTAGCTGTGCTCCGGATGTGTTCCACACCCTGAGGGTACATGAAGAAAACTAGAACTCTTGCCCTTCTGATTATTTCTGGTCTTGTGGTATGAAAACATTGCTAAAGGCTGATGAACAAAATAAGCAGTTAAACTTACTTTAGCTGAGCCATCTTTGGAGTATGTGTGAGGAGTTTGTTTTTTGTGGTTTTTTGGGGGGGTTGTTTATGTTGTTGTTGTTGCTGGTTGGTTGTTGGTTTCTTGTGGGGTTTTTCTGGGGGGGTGGGTGAGATTCGGGGGTGAGGGTGGGGAAACTGCTTTCAGTGCATTGTCTAGCTAGCTAACATACCTACTAGGGTGGAGGTCAGTGCTCGATTTGTCTTTATGCTTTGTATTTGCATTTGCAAAATAACCCGATTCAGATACCTGTGCCTGTGCTAGCTGAGTAAAGCACAGATGGCTCAACATTTCTGTCAGTAAAGAAAAAAGGCATTTTGAAGCCATAGCTCTGCTAACTTGTTTGGGGTATTTGCCTCAGGGTCAGGCAAGTGAATAATCCTGCCTTCAAAGTGTCTGCTCACCATGTTCAGGTAACAGATTTGAGTGTAGATGTCTGCAGGGTAGGAAAAGTTGGCCTCTGTGAGTATTGGAAGGTATGCTGGTAGGGCAGAGACTAAAGCAATTTTTTTTTTTTAATATAATCCCTATCCCAGAGTGGGTTTTATGTCTAGAATTCCTGAGTTGGGGAAGTAGCCTTGCTTCCCTCATTCCCGCTACTACAGGCACAGTTCGGCAGTTACAACCAAGAACTCATTTAGTCAGATTGTTCAAGTAAATGTCTTCAAACAAAGAAGATTAAAACTAAAACTTACTGCTGGCCATCTGGCAAATATAGCTTTTGTTATGCTGGCAGTCAGTGTTTTCCCAGTACCCTGCTTTATCTACAGATCTTGTTGTCATTGCAATACAGTCAGTCTAGGGAAAAATTAAAAAAGAAAATTGTAGCTAATGAAGTGAAAAATGTTCAGCAAAATAATAGAAATAGGTTTGAGGAGAACCAAGATAATAGCTTTCTTTTCTAGTTATCAGGCTCTTATTTTCATCTAATGTTTCTTGGAAAATAAACTAATTTATATATATACACATATATATATACATATATATATATGAGATAACCTATTATCTAATGAAGTGAAAAATGTTCAGCAAAATAATAGAAATAGGTTTGAGGAGAACCAAGATAATAGCTTTCTTTTCTAGTTATCAGGCTCTTATTTTCATCTAATGTTTCTTGGAAAATAAACTAATTTATATATATACACATATATATATACATATATATATGAGATAACCTATTATATATCTTAAGTAAATGTACTTTCCTTGGTAATTACTGCAATAACTTTGTCAGTTTATTAAAATTACTTGGAGTGTACCAAAGCTATTTTAACTGTGTAGTTAATGGTAATCTGTACTGAATTTGTTGCACTTTCCTTTGGATTCAGGCTTTACAAGGAGAAACAATAAAATGCTACCAAAATCTCAGTAGTAAGACTGAATATTTTCAGTGTAATCTAGTATTTCTTTTTTCTGTTTACCTCTATTGTAATATATTTCCAGTCAACTCTTACGTATTCATCTCTAAATGGGAATTTTGTTCCCCACTTTGAATAGTCAAAAACACTTCCATCTGTCCAAAGGTAGTTATTCTCAGTGGTAATATCATTCAGTCCAATCCATGTTTCATTGGAGACATCTTTCATGTGGAAGGTGAGGAAGGCTATTAAAAAAAAACACAAAAAACCAAAACAAAACAAAAAACTCAGAGAAAGAGAGTAGTAGATTCAGCATAAACCAAATTGCAATTAAAACAAGCAATCAGCTTTTTAAAATATTGCAAATACTATGCTCAATACTGTTAGACTATGAGTTAATGATAAAAGAGAAAAATTGCAATGGGTAATTTAACCAAATCAGTTTGACTTCATTTAATAAAAATAAAATAAATAAAATTTAAAAAAACAAAAGCAAAAGTTTTCTAGATAACAATGATGGATACCTCTTGAAAATATTATAGAATTTAGGACTAGAAGGGTCTTCAATAGGATTAATCAGCCTTACCCAAGATAGCATCAACTGCACAAGTGTGATTTCTGGTGAATGTTGTTTTCCTTTCTGACTTGAATATCTGTGAGCATCTAATTTATATGAACTATTTATGTCATCTTCCAAGGCAATCGGGAATAGATTATTTTGTTCTCTCCACTTGTGGTTTTGCCATAAGATAGAAAGTGTCAAAATATCTCACTCCAGCCTTCTCTCTGGATCAGGCAGCTCCAAGTCATCCTTCATAGGTTACGCTACTTAGATCTGAAGGCTAGTTCGGTCTTGTCATTAGGTGGTTAAATGTGCTGGCTTCATACTTAGCACAAAAAAAGTTTATATGTCCTACCTTGCACTTGTTCATCGTGTATAGAGGCCAAATTCCCCCCAAATTCTATACAAGCACTTCTGGCAGAGTGCCAAGTCAGTCTTTCCTCTTCTTTGGATCCAAATATTTTGTAACACTGTGGGGGAAGTAAGGGATTACACAAAATTCCAGGTGTCAAAGAGTACTAAAGTTATTGGGTCTGAATAATTCTAGTGCCTTAATTCTAGTTTCAGTTCCTGCAAGTGAAGAGCAGCAGCTGGGGGATCTGCTGAAATGTAAATACTGTCAGCAAGCAAGAAGGAGACCAAGCTAACCACAAGGATGTGTGTGCAGCACTTGCAACCCTGTGGGATTTCCAGGGTTAGTGGTGGTCAACAGCTGGCAACCACCAAAAGCTTTTGAGGAAATAAGTTGGTAGCTAAGGCAAATGGGTAGACATTTCAGGTCACATTACTGAAAAGTAGAATCTTTGAGGGACTTAAACTATTCCTGATTGGGAACATAACTTGGAGCAGGCATCTCTCAGCCACAGATTCAAAGCTGAAGCCTGAGCTGGTGTCAGTGCAAGTGGAAGAGTGTCAGGAAGAAGTGCTCTTTTGTACCATATATTAGTATCCTATGGGGATTTCTCCTGAATACCAATGTATAAATATATTTTTTTTTGTGGTTGTGAACACTCCAAGGGACAGAGGACATGTTTTTAACTGGCATATGCTGGTCCTCCATTTTTATGCCCTTCAAATACATAAAAACGTTTCCTATTGATTGCACTGTGGGACTGATTTGTGGGTTTCATTTGTTTGATTTTTTTAAGATCATATGGCCAGGTCTGCTTTTTATTCACTTAGCTAAAAACAATGCTTGCTTGTTTTCGACATTTGATTTGTCATTTATTGCTGCTTGCTTTACTCAAGATTAGATGTTAGGATAGTCAATTATGCATGGAAACCATGACCTTTCATTTTTTCATTTCAGAGTTACTCAAAGTAAGTGATTTGCACTTACAGATAATGATCAAAGGGCTGGAGCACCTGTGCTATGAAGGGAGTTGGGGCTATTCAGCCTCGTGAAGAGAAGGCTCCAGGGAGACCTTATAGTCACCTTCCAGTACCTGAAGGGGCCTACAGGAAAGGTGGGGAGGGACCTATTACCAGGGCAGTGATAGGAGAAGGGGTAATGGTTTTAAACTGAAAGAGGGTAGATTTAGGGTAGACATTAGGAAGAAATTCTTCACCATGAGGGTAGTAAGGCACAGGAATAGGTTGCCTAGGGAGGTTGTTGATGTCCCCTCCATGGAGGTATGTAAAGTTTGGATGAGGCTTTGTGCAGCCTGATCTGATGTGAGGTGTCCCTGCTTATAACAGGGAGGCTGGAACCTGGTGATCTTTAAGGTTCCTTCCAACCTTAACCATTCTATGATTCTATGATAATGAAACAATAAGTATTTCTAAAACAGAAAATTCTAGAAACCGTAAAAGTAACTATAGCTGAGGGCATGTGGGCATTTACAAAAACTGAGACTTAAAACATTCAAATCTACATTTTCTTGAGATTTAGATATGAACTTGACAATATGAAAATAGACTCCACTGCTAATAGAATACCACTTAATAAACTGGTGTATAAAGCAAGAGAATGTCTATAGTGAGATGAAGGGATAGTTGTTTTCTCTACCTATCGCACATCTGCTAAATATGGCTGAAATTTGTTACTGTACCTTGTTCTTAAATAAAAGCCAAGTTTCAGGACATCCTCCCAAAGGTTGAAACACAGTAGGAGTAAATCCTGAGTAATTCGAGTTGTGCCTTTCACAGATGAAGTTATTTTTCACAGCACAACTTATATCTTTCCAAAGGCCTGTAAATAAATGAAATACAGAGAATCACTATCTGAAACTCTCATACCACTTTTACAGCAGTCAGCCCCAGACAGTATTCCCAAAGCACAAATTAAACCTCCTGGAAGCAGGTGAAAAATTTCCCACATACGTTATTTGCCCTATATTGCACTCCATTCTCTGCCATAAATTCATCTCTCAATAGTGGTGTTGTGGTTTTAAACCTCATACTTGTGATTGAAAATTGTTAGTATTATTCTACTGCCTATTTATGGGGTAGCTTCATAGTTATATATGTAATAAACATTTTAGTTTTTGATACTAGATTTTCAACCAAGTATTTCTTGTTGCTATTTTACTCACCAAAATCTTTGGACATTATCACACAGTTTTCATCATTATTAACAAAGTTGGGTTCATTTGGAGCCCAGGCAACATAATTCACTGGGGTCTTATCCAACCAGCTGAAAGAAACAAGCAGAGTTATTACTAGGCAGGTGTCTCCAGCATTTAGTTATAATATATTTTTACCTAAAGGGCTAAGTAAACCATTAACAGTGACCAGAGAGTAAAGGCTCTACATGTACTAGAGAGGATGTATCCATAGCAATAATTCCCATCTGTTTAGTATAAGGGCATTCAAGCCACAGCAGCCCATTTTGCCATTTTGTCTGGGTAAACAACATCATACTCAAAGGGAATGGTCCAGACAAGACTGAAACCCCAAGATTTCACCAGTGCCCAGACTTCCCTCTTCCCTTTCATCCAAGAAAGATGTCCTGGAAGCCTTCTACAAACAGATTCCTAAAACAGGTTCCCCACCATCAATTTCAAACAGCTGTTGGGTGAGATACTGCACACACTTCTTGCTTCCAGCTCACAGAACTTGAATCACTGGCATTAGTCTGATTAAACTTTTACATCCGCTTGGGCTTTCTCTGGTTAGAGTTAATCTCATCCTAAGTTTGTTGTGTAAAGTGGATCCAGTGAATAATATCCTAAAATTAGCTGCTTCTCCTCACTACCTATGAAGAATTGCTTGGGTGTTTCACCCAGTTCTCTCAGTGTAAGAAATTAAGTGTTGTGAACCTTAGCTGTGAGCTTCCATTGGTTTTGATCTCCCAGATTTGGAAGGAAAAAACATTTCTCTGCTTAAATAAAGAACTTAACACTTCTGGTCTGACACTCTGAGATGAAATTACCAGAATTTGTTGGCCATTACCAGTTTTCTGTTACTCACCTGAATTTCTGATCAAAGCTGACAACTAAGCCAATGAAATATGATTTCTCTCTGTGTTTTGTGTGAACCTAAAACAAAAGTATTTAACAGCTAAGCACTTAACACTTCCTTAACATCAAGCAAAAATCTAAGCCAAATAACCTTTTTTTTTCTTCTTTTTTTTTTTTTTTTCCTCCAGGATTTGAGCCTCAGGGAAGAACATCATTGGAATAACCCAGGTTTCAAGAAGGCAAAAGAGATATGTGGAATATACTGGAGTGAGGAACCCACTGGACAGGAAAGCAGTAAGAGCTGTGCTGAACACTACATATCTCAGAAGAGGTAAGTAACCTGGGCCTGAACTGTCCTTTCCTGCACTTTCAACATTTACATGCCTTTTCCTCTGCCTACTGAAAGCAACAGTGATTTCTTTACAGCTCCTGAACAAATATATTATTATATAAATAAGTAATTCAGGACAATCGCTCAGGATTTTAGCCTAGCTAAAACTGCTATTTTGATTTTAGCAGCTGCTCTGCATCAGAATTCAATTATAACTAATAGAATTACTGCTTACATATTGCCAGAGAAATTGTCTTTTTCTTTCATGCTCAATGACAACAAGATCTGCAAAGTTCTTCTGACAAATTCTCCGTGCTTCTTCCATATGGACATGTTCTATGCTGAAATAGTACTGCTTATCTTCATGTATAACCCATCCATCACCAGTGGTTTGATATTCTGAAAGATAAAGAAGCACATATGCTACAATCATATCTTATCTGTACTAATTCTGAAAACTATATGGTACAATATTTTGTTTGAAAGAAGTAAAAAATCTTACCAAGTTGGTAGTCATGTGGTTCAGGTTTTAGCAGTGTATCTGTGAAATAAAAGATCACAATGAGCAACATTCCAAACACATGTACACACACAAAATAAAACCAGAGAGTTTGGCTTTACGTAGTTGCAAATGCTTTTACAATGAGAAAGAAATGGAAGTATGAGTGTTCTAATGCATTTTCAGGATTTTAGAGCCAATACCACTGGATTAAATTTAAAAATATGTGAAACTTAGGAAAAAAATATCTAGTGAAAAATACACATCTTTAAAGCATACATACCTATCTGCAAAGCAGTTTATTAAATAATTCGGGATATGCAGTACATATGTTGTGGATGAAACTTACAGCAGTCTGAAAAATGGTTTAACATTTTTGCTTAGCATATTATTAGTAATCTTTTGACATTTATGGGACTAGAGCCAAATGATATAAGCCAGCCTATATATCCAGTTCTCAAGCTTACCTACATATTATTAAGGTATTCTCAAGTACTAAAACTTAATGCTGGAATTTTGTTAACACCACACTTCCTTTCTAGTCTCTAGATATATTCCTCCTATCCTGATGTCTTGGTTTTCACTAGCGAAGTCTGTTTTTAAAAGAGTCCTGGAGAGAGTCAAGAAATCCCAATCAAGAATACTGGGATAGCCAGTATATACCAAGCCCCATTTTCTGATTGCAAGATAGACCAGTAGGAAGCAATTAATTTCAGTGTTCTCAGAGCCAGCTATAACCCCTTAAAGATATTTCTACTTTTATTTGGATGCCTGTTATCTTATTCCAGTTCTTCTGTGGTTTGATGGAGAGGAACACATTATTAAACAAATTATGGGAACAATTTAGATGAGAAATAAGCAGTCAAATTAAAAAACAACTTGAATTTTTCTGTTGGGACGTTTCAAATATTTTCTTAAGCAGTTTGTTCAGAATAGAACTAAAATTCTTCAAACATAGAATCATAGAATCATAGAATCTTAGGGGCTGGAAGGGACCTCGAGAGATCATCTAGTCCAACCCCCCTGCCAGAGCAGGGTCACCTAGAGTACATCACACAGGAACTCATCCAGGTGGGTTTTGAATGTCTCCAGTGAAGGAGACTCCACAACCTCCCTGGGCCGCCTGTTCCAGTGCTCTGTCACTCTCACAGTAAAAAAATTTTTTCGGATATTCACCTTGAACTTCCTATGCTCCAATTTACACCCATTACCCCTTGTCCTATCACTGGTCATCACTGAGAAAAGCCTAACTCCGTCCCCCTGACACTCACCCCTTACATATTTGTAAACATTGATGAGGTCACCCCTCAGTCTCCTTTTCTCCAAGCTAAAGAGACCCAGCTCCCTCAGCCTTTCCTCATAAGGGAGATGTTCCACTCCCCTAATCATCTTCGTAGCTCTGCGCTGGACTCTTTCGAGCAGTTCCCTGTCCTTTTTGAACTGAGGGGCCCAGAACTGGACACAATACTCCAGATGTGGCCTCACCAATGCAGAATAGAGGGGGAGGAGAACCTCTCTTGACCTACTAACCACACCCTTTCTAATGCACCCCAGGATGCCATTGGCCTTCTTGGCCACAAGGGCACATTGCTGGCTCATGGTCATCCTCCTGTCTACCAGGACCCCCAGGTCTCTTTCACCTACACTACTCTCCAGCAGTTCAGCCCCCAACCTGTACTGGGACATGGTGTTGTTCTTCCCCAAATGTAAAACTCTGCACTTCCCCTTGTTGAATTTCATCATGTTTCTCCCCGCCCAACTCTCCAACCTATCTAAGTCTCTCTGAATGGCAGCACAGCCTTCTGGTGTGTCAGCCACTCCTCCCAGCTTAGTGTCATCAGCAAACTTGCTGAGGGTACATTCTATACCCTCATCCAGGTCGTTGATGAAGATGTTGAACAACACCGGTCCCAGTACCGACCCCTGTGGGACTCCACTAGTCACACACCTCCAACCAGATTCTGCCCCATTGACTACAACTCTCTGACTCCTTCCTTTCAACCAGTTCCTAATCCACCTCACTTCCTGATCACCAAACCCATACCTGATCAACTTTTCTACAAGGATGCTGTGGGAGACGGTGTCAAATGCTTTACTGAAATCAAGATAAACCACATCTACCGCTCTACCATCATCTATCCACCTAGTAATTTCCTCATAGAAGGCTATGAGGTTAGTCAAACATGATTTACCCTTGATAAAACCATGTTGACTGCTCTTGATGACCCCCATGTCCTTGATGTGCCTGGAGATAGTGCCAAGAACAAGTTGTTCCATCACCTTTCCAGGGATGGAGGTGAGGCTGACCGGTCTATAGTTACCCGGGTCCTCCTTCTTGCCCTTCTTGTAGACTGGAGTGACATTTGCTATCCTCCAGTCCTCAGGCACCTCACCTGTTGCCCATGACTTACTGAAGATGATGGAGAGTGGCCTAGCAATGACCTCCGCCAGCTCCCTCAGCACCCTTGGGTGCATTCCATCTGGACCCATTGATTTATGGATGTCCAGATTACTCAACTGATCCCTAACCCAATCCTCATCTACCATGTCAAACTCTTCCTCTATCTTGACTTCTTCTGGGGCTATATGAATCTGGGGCTCATAGGGAGACCCTGCAGGAGTGAAGACAGAGGCAAAGAAGGCATTCAGCACCTCTGCCTTCTTTATATCCTCTGTCACCAGGGCTCCCACCTCATTCCTCAATGGGCCAATATTGCCTCTATTGCTAGTTTTGCTAGCTATGTATTTGAAAAAGCCCTTTCTATTATCCTTAACCTGACTTGCAAGGTTAAGTTCCAAGGAGGCCTTAGCTTTCCTAATTGCCTCCCTACATCCTCTGACAACAGTCCTATATTCCTCCCACGTGACCAGCCCCTCCTTCCATGATCTGTAGATTTTCCTTTTCCACTTAAGTTTGCCCAGTAGTTCCTTCTTTAACCATGCAGGTCTCCTAGCACCCTTACTAGATTTCCTAACCATTGGGACGCTCTGATCCTGTGCTTGCAAGAAGTGGTCCTTGAATGTTGACCAGCTATCTTGAGCTCCTTTATCTTCTAGCACCCTGTCCCATGGGATTTCCCTTAATAGATGATTGAGGAGACCAAAGTTTGCCCTGTGGAAGTCCAGGGTTCTGGTCCTGCTGGGTATTTTGTTCCTTCCACACAGGATCCTGAACTCCACCATCTCATGATCACTGCAGCCAAGGCTGCCATTGACCACCACTGCTTCAACAAGGCCCTCCTTGCTGGTTAGTACAAGATCCAGCAGCGCTCCTCTTCTAGTCGGCTTGTCCACCATTTGCATTAAGAAGTTATCATCAATGCACTGGAGGAACCTCCTAGACTGTGAAAGGCTGGCTGTGTGAGTCTTCCAGCAGATATCAGGGTAGTTGAAATCTCCCATGAGGACCAGGGACTGTAGTTGTGAGGCTGCTTTCAGTTGCCTGTAGAAAGCCTCATCAACCTCCTCACCTTGATCAGGAGGTCTGTAGTAGACCCCCACAACTGTGTCACCCGCACCTGCTTGCCCCTTAATTCTTACCCACAGACTTTCAACTTGCCCCTCATCAGCCCCTGCACAAAACTCAATACATTCTAGTTGCTCTCTCACATAAAGAGCAACTCCACCACCTCGCTTCCCTGCCCTATCTTTCCTAAAAAGCACATATCCATCCATGGCCACATTCCAGTCATGTGAGCTGTCCCACCATGTCTCTGTTATTGCTACTAGATCATAACCCTTAGCCCGCACACAGACCTCTAATTCCTCCTGCTTGTTCCCCATGCTGCGTGCATTAGCATACAGGCATTTCAGGAAATGAACAGAGCACACCGGTGGGACTAAATCCTCCTTGGACGACCTGACTTTGGGCCATGGTGTGTTCCTCTTGTGCTTGTCCCTAACAGACCCGGTCTTCTCCCCTTCCCCCTTCACATCTAGTTTAAAGCTCTATCAATGAGCCCTGCCAAGTCCTGCCCCAAAAGCCTCTTCCCCCTCTGGGACAGGTGCATCCCACCTGCCACCATCAGTCCAGGTGCCTCATATAGCATCCCATGATCAAAAAACCAAAACCCTGTCTATGGCACCAATCTCTTAACCATTCGTTAACCTGCAAACTCTTCCTGTATACCTCCCTACCCATTCTTGCAGGAGGGATGGAGGCAACATAGTCATGATGAATTTGCATACTTCATCTAATTTTGATATTTTTTTTTAATCCTAATGTACCTGTAACATTTCTTGCTTTTTAAAAAAAATGGAATATCTTAAGTAAATTTGTGTTAAGTGACTATGAGGGAAGTAACAGCAGGAGAGCATTTCTCCTGTCATGGTGGTCATCATCTAATCTAGATTCACAATAGCAAGATCTAATTTTTTTATATTTTTTTTTATAGTTTTCCTTTGGCAAGATCATTTAGGATCAAGACAAGCTGATCAGAGTATTTATGCCATGGTTTCTGAAGTCCCCCTGAGTAATCTCACCAAGACCAGAGAACCAAATCTGAAAAAAACAGTGCTCTCAACAAACCAGAAAGGGCTATACAAGATATACTTCTTTGACCTGGTAAACAGAATTCAGCATTATGATGGTGCATTTGTATGAATAATCTACCCACAAGGAAACAGTGAATCTTCCTTCTCTATTGAGCAATTTCTCAATGGTAACACAGTACCTTACTCGCTGTTTAATAGTGGTTTGTTGGCAGTCATCCAACATTATATATACTCAATGCTTTTTATGTAACTGCTTCTCCCTTCTCCTCCATATTTTGCCTCCTACTAGTTCCCTGTTTGCACTCAACTTTTTTTTCACTTCAATAAGCTTTTAAGAAGCTCCTGCTTGAGCTGAGATGTATACAAGTACTCAGTTTACAACCAAGAAGCATGAATATAAAAGTAGAACTAAGTAAGCAAAAGAAGTTATTTCATTATCAGTGTTCACTTGGGGACTTCAGCCCATTTAGACTCAGTTTCCTGCTGGCAGACATCCTAATGCAGGTCCGTGTCATGCCCCAGCACCAGGGCCAGGAGGCTTGCCATTAGGTCGCGGCCTGCAGGAGCCCTTCAGCCTACAGCAGTCTCTACTTATGGTCTCTTTTCTGAGTAGCTGGTTTCTATAGCAACTGACCCCTCTCTTGGGTTCACATTACTTGTTTCAAAGTAGGAAGGAAAGTTTCTTTCTCTTTTATACAGGTAACTCTAGTGTCCTGCATCTTTGGCTCTCCTAGGTGAGCCTGAAGCAGATAAAAGGAAGAGGGGAAGAGATAAAAGTGGAGGGGCTAAGTACCTTTGCCTTGCAAATTTATTCATCCCATGGCAGAAGGAGATAAAGTCAGAGACAAAGTAATATAACAACTTTAACTTTCTTCCTCTGAGTACTATTGAAATATCTTAATTCGTCTTCTTCTATGTGTTGCCTTCACTGCAACTGATTTTAAAATGAACAATTCCCTGTATGTTTCTTCTTTTCAATTTGTTCAAATTTGTTTCAATTGTTTTTGAAATTAGGTTTATTGCTCCAATTAGGTGGGGAATAGTCTTACCTTTTTTTGTTTCACAAATCCAATTAAGTAAATGTTCACAGCGCAAGTCATTCCAGCGCATTTGAGGTGATCTATTAAACATAACACAATGTTCAAGTTCTTCATGATTGTTGGGTTCATCTTCATCCCAGTTCTCATAAGTTACCTGTGTTGGAAATACATCTTAATTAGTGTGTGATTAGAGCTGAGTGGAAGTAATTGAGACTGCCTTTGTAACACTATTTCAGGGTCTCTTCATCTCAAGTACTTTGTTTATGGGATCAATAAGAGTTCAAATAGTTCTGAGAGGGCTGTAAAAGTCATGCTGATCAGTTCACTTTCCCCATCATCCCCAGAGAATGTATAAAGATTAAACAGTGTGGAAAATCACATCTGATGGAGGAAGAACTGATGGGCAGAAGCAGTCATGTTAATCTCATTTTGTGAAAGGTGGACACTTGACTTCTCTGTATTAACACACAGCGGTGCCCTGTCAGGGATGCTGCAAAGATCTAAGAGCACAGACTGTGGGAGATGAGATATAACATGGTAACAGGGATGAAACAGAGGCAATTTTGTATTTCCATTAGTGTGTTAAGACAATGCCACCACTGAGCACTGCAGCCACTCAGCTGAGGGATAAAGGACTGCCATCCACCTGCCCAAGGTTAAAAGAGATCAGAAAAAAGGCATAAGAGCATAAATATATATATTTAAAAGAATAGATAGGAAATTATTATCCAGTAAAGATGTACTCACAGGGGAACCATCAATCCAGGCAAACCCTTCATCAGGATTCAAGAGAAACAAACCAATCCAGAAAGCCTGAGAGCTCAGACCTTTATCACTAGAAAAAAAAACAAAACAAAACAAAACCACAAAACCCACACATTGTAGATGCCTGAGCGTAGAAAGAGAGGCCATGGTATAAACATGCCACTTTCTGTCATATCTGAATTGGGAGCTACTCCTGCCCTGTTGGCCCATAGCCAGGCTTACCATCTACACTGGCTGTCAAGAGTTTGAGAGTGCTCTGTATTGGGACAAGACTGGTCATATTTGAATGTAAGTTAAAGGACAAGTAATGTAGCACAGGGCTAGCTTGGCCTCCCATCCTTGTGGCTGCCACACAGCTCTTGACTGAAGCGAGAATTGATGGAAAGTGGTTTTAGTAAAAGTAAACCATAAATAGAGACTTATAATACAATTTAACTAATGACAAATAGTGACCTTTTTTTCAACTGCTTTGATTTACTTCTTGGCACTTCCTGTCTAGTTTAGTTAATAGTTCACTCTATTTACCTTGTCATATTTAGGGATCAGATCAAACAGAGTCCTATTTCTTCCACTACATAACACCAAGATTTCCCTCCACAAATATTTCACAATTTAAAGCAGAAAGACTTAACAGAAAAGTAAGAACACATTCAGCTCCTCACAATAATGAAAAATAATAAAATGGAGAAGGGAAAGATCATGAAAACTTTTTATATGACAGTTTAAAATCTATTTGAGACATTAAACCTAGATTCACCACTATGTGAAACAGCTTGGGATAAATAGCTATGTATTGTGTGTCATTGATATGTCTTGACATTAAGGAATACAATCAGAATGTAGTGGTCTAATTTAGGGGAAAATAATGGCATGATTTGTACATTGCAGGCAATATACGGCATCTACCGTGCTAGCAAAAATTAATTAAAATTAACTCCTCTTTGATTTCAGGAATCTTCAGTTTATATTCAGAAGATTTCCATATTAAGTCCTTGCATTTGTTTTACATTACACATAAACTTAAGAGCTATTTTGAATGCATTGATTGAAATATGAATTGCAGCCAGTGTAAAAAGGACACCATTAGAGCTGAACATTTTCTTGTCTCCCTTTTGGGTGAGGGACTAACATGTACAAAGGTGATCAGATCTGGACAGCAGCCACACCAAAAACCTGTGATGAAAAAGTCAAAAATATCAAAGCCACTTGAAACTATTCAAGAGTATTTTTTTTAAGCAATGCTTTGGGATTATATTTTTAAATGAAATGTTTATATCTTAGTTGAAAATTTAATTGGTTTTGCCTAGCTCCAGATATATTTTGAAGAAATTATTATTTAAAGTCCCACAAATGTGAAATTGAGTCATCACGCAAGTACTCACGATGCTAATTGCCATGTTAAAATTTGATCTTCTCTTGTATTGATTGTGACCAGATTTCCTCCTATTTCTCTACAGAATTCTTCAGCCTCAAACCAAGACTTCTTTTGGTTTCCCTCTCTCACAAAAAACTGATAAAAAAAAAAAAAAAGGTAAAAATAAATTGCTAAATGTGCATAGTTTGACTTGTAAAAGTATGTACTTACCTATGTAGTTAAAATAAGTATCACAGTAGTAACCCTTTCGTTTTGAGACAATATAACATCTGTAAAGACCTATAATATTAAGCATTAGTAATGTAAAGTGTATGGTTTTTTCTTAGCATCTTCTGTTTTAAAATACAGCAAGAGTACCATGAAATTCTGAGGAAAACAGAAAGTATTACAATGTACAGAGAAGGAAAAAATAATGTATAACTTAATAGGAACTTTAACCACTCAAAGACTTCAAAAAAAATTGAATGGCTCAGCCCTAGTATTCTGCAGTTGAAAGCAGGAGATTTTTGAGAAATGAACGGTGGAGGGAAAATCAAGATTTTGGAATAAAAAATATCTTTCTCTGTTGGACAGTGAAAGCTATTTTGCAAGGTACTGACCGTGGCTGAGGAAAGGGTTTTTGTAAGGTGGTGCAAGCTACATATGCATAGCATGACTTTCTACTATGAAGTACACACACCCTTGAAGTAAGAAACTGGATGCTTGACATTTTGGGGAAAGGGTAATCGTCAATTTGTTTATTGACAGAAACAATGTTAGTAATAATAATTGCGTGTGAGATAGAAATTGGAACCCTGATAAACACAGGGCTAAAATAATCCCTGGCCTCCCAATGAACACAGTCTCAAGAGTGAAAATGACAGGGCACTTATGTCAAGACCTGGAAGAGCAATACTGCATATTTCCTTTTCCTTGACCTATTTTGCTCTTTCTTTACTTATTTGCTTTTCAAAATGGAGATTTTTTAAGGAATCTTTAGCCAAAACAAAAGAATGCACAAAACCTTTACTTGCTGAAGTGACACCGACGTCAAACCAATCCTGGATCTAAAAGTATCACTGGAAGTATCATGGACTGTGTGAGAAAAGGTTGGCAAAGGACCAGACTTCCATAAATTTTCTCTTAGAAACTTTATCTGATACAAGTGATACTGCCAGGCAATTCTGTGTTTTTCTGAAATCTGAGATTCCTGGAAATAAATACATTAGGTGAGATTCTCACATGGTATTTAAATAAAAGAATGCATATTTCTAGCATGCTATTTTTGTGGTTTCAAATGTTTCGTTGTTGACTTTCATTATATTTGATGGATTTGTCTCATGGATTTTAAGACTCAGTGTCATGGAGATGGTCCTTCCCAAAAAATGACCCAACACTTGAGTCCCTAAGTACTACTATGACCGCTGGGCTCTCCCATGCTCAGTCTCACAAGGAAGGTAGACACACACTTACTTTTAAGCATGAGTCTGCCCGGGAAGCTCTGTCCCAGCCTTCAGCACAGGCAGCTGCAGGAACCTGTACCAGAGGAGTGGGAGGCAGGACTCCTGCTGCCTGCTGTTTGCAAAGAAAATTTGCTGTCTTCTCACAGCTGACAACATCCCATAATCCAGCTGTAATTCCAGTTCCCATGGCAACACAGCCTTGTTCTTTTCCTTTGTAATATGGAAAAAAAATTAATAAACCCAGAGTCTTAATTACTCTCTAAGAAATGAGACCTTTGCTCTTATTCATAAAAAACTATAAGGAAGATGCAGAATACACAGACTAAAAACACGATCCTGGATATAAAATTATTTTTAATACCTCCTGCTATAGCCAAGATATGAGTCAATGACTTTTACAAACACAGCTTCCCCAAAAACAAGGATGTGCAACTTTAGAATACAAATCATAGAATCATAGAATCATTTCTCACGTATGGACCTTATGAGTCAAAAAAACTCTGTCCATAATAATTTTTCTCAGTCTGTTGATTTGTTGTTAACTGATGTTAAAAAGTCGAAAAATGAGACCATGAACCTTGTTAACTCCTGCACAGTATTGCCTTCAGTCTAGCCCATTAAAAATCTCTTTCTGTACAACTTCACAAGAGATTGGCTCACACAATGCCTGACACTCAGCTGTAAATGTATTTCTTACATTGGCCCAAACATAAGGTGTGGTGGTTTTGGCCACCCACACCTACAAGCACAAAAGAAAGTACCTCCTGTACTCAGTAAGACCAGGGTATGACAGGCAGAAGCCTGCATGAATTCCAGCTGCACTCCACCACAAGGCTTGAGCTTGTGCAGAGCTTACCTGGCATTTCTATGTTCCAGTGTGTGAAGAGAGGAGTTTCACCACTGGTCCACTTGAAACTCCCTTGTTCTTCTGTGTTGGAGAGACCAATCCAGAAATATTTTTCAGACCTCAGCCCCGTCAGACTAATCAAAAAGGCTTGTTCATTTCTAAAGTGTAAAACAGCATCTGTTCAAACATATTACCTTGCAACACTGATCTAACTGGTACAGATAGAGGAATCAGTACCGTACTAACATGACCCAAAGGCAATAAGTCCTCAGGGAAGTTCAGGCAAAACCTGAACAAGCTTTTAAGTGTGGTCAAAAGAATTTCATAAGGGATTACTTTCTTCTTTCAGCCAAAGACATCTCTCCTTTTCACCCAGTTCTGTGAAATATTACAAATCCTTGCTCACGTAGGATTGTGATCGAATTCTACTATTTTCCTTGTCTTTCCAAATCTTTGAGGTGCTTCAAACAGATCGCTGAGTCACGACCAAACTGTCAGCTTTGCTATCCATCACCTCTGAAGTCAGTCATGTTCCTCAGAGACCATGGAGTCTGCAAACCCTGACTAAGATATGGGTAGGTTAGAGGTGATTCATGCTGGCTGCAGTAGGGCATGTCTTGGGGAAGACTTCCTATATTTATTCAGAATTTGGCTTAGCAAGTTGTTCAGGAAATATTAGTTGTTAAAGCTTTCCATCAGGAAATGGATTAAAATTGTAGAAACTACTTTACAACAGAAAAAAAACCAAAAACAACCAACCAACCAAACAAAACCAAACCAACAACGAAAAAAAGCAAAAAACACCAGTCCCCCCAACCCCGAAAAAAACTAGAAGCTGCTTTAATTAGGAACTGAAAGACAGAGAAAAATTATTAACTTAAGAATCCCCAAATTTTGGAAATTATTTTAATAGATTAAGTAGAAAACCCTAAAACACTGAGTCTTTTTTTTCCCTGCCTGGATAATTTTATTTAACTTACTACTACATAATTTTTGAAAGTGCTGACAAAACACTTGGAAGAGGTCAAAACGGACTAGTTTTGCAAGTTTCCCCATCAGAAGCACTGGTTTTAAAGTATGAAAAAAAGATACTTTCCTACCTGCTTTCCACTGTGGCTAGATGAGCTTTGTTCTGTTCACATGTCTTACTTGCTTCTGAGAACATCAGCAGTGCAGAGCCGACCAAATAACAGTGGAAACCATATCTTTTCCAACCCTGTAACAAACATAACGATCTTAATGTGAAATTGAAAGAGACTTCAACACAGAAATTAGTTCTGTTTCTTTGTGTGTAAATATTTGACAATAGATTTATTGCAAGTGATCTTAAAGACAAGACTGGGCCAATGAGCTAATGAACAAAAGCTGAAGTTGTTTTGCTGTTCGCTCCTACAGAAGGCCTTTTTATTTAAAGGATATCATTAAGATCTCAGTTTTAATCTCTTTTATGCATAAATGACTTTATAAAGGAAATTGTGACTGTGCTACTTGCTACCAGTTCCCAGAGCTCTGTAAAGCTGGGATTATGCAAACTGCATCATGCAAAGCCTGTAACTCATTCAGGGGGGAGCTGCAGCTTTCCAGAACTATGGGGTCTTACTTAAAGAAATACAAAAATATTGCAATATAGAAATGAACTGACATACAAGCACAGCTCCTCAAAGCTGCCCCTGCTATCACTAAGTGGGATGGGTCAGGAGACTTTTGAAGCCAAGACAGTGCTTGTTTTGGGGGAGGATAGAAAGGAGTAATATCTGTAATTCTTCCTGCTCTTAGACAGATCTATGCTGACTAATATAGATATAATGATTTTTCTGAAGGGGTAAATTCTGAAAAAATGACTAATTTGGAAAAAAATAACCTTCTGATATCACTCAAAGGCCAACTAAGTAGTCCATTGGTGGGAACATGATAGAGAAAGGCTGATCCTTTTACATTTTGAAATTATTTTCTTTCTTTCTTTTACCATTATTGTATAGTAAGGGCTTTATAATAATTCAATAGACAGCGGATCTGAGAGAAGAGACAAAGAGACAAGTGTATTGTTAGGCTAAGAGGATAAACGAAGAGAACAGTGGTGACATCATGATTTAAAGCATATATGTAATTTTTCACAGGGTGGCTCATCTGGGAATGGAGAGAAAGGCAGTATTAATGTAAATTAATGTTGACTTTCTAGAGTATTTCAGAGAAAAATGAAAAATGCACATATTAGAAAAATGCTAGAAGGAAAAGCATAGGTTTCTTCAAGAGTAGGTTTTCTAGCAGATGTAAACACAAAGACATTACAAGAAGCAAGAACCGGTACATTTTTTCTGTTCATTTTTCCAAACTTTTTTTTTTTTTTTTTGAGAGAGCATTTACTTTCTGACAGCCTGGGTCCTCTATTGTCTCTTTTTCTGAGGATTGTGATGAAGGTTTCTTTTTACAGATGTAACCAAGCTGCTTATCACAAACATCAGTTGACCAGTATCCATCCTACAAGAGCAGGGAGAAGAAACTAATTTTAAAAAAAGGGTGTTCATAAACATAAGGAAACTAGTGTTTTCCTCTTTCTTCACGACAAGACCTACTGAAATATGTTACTTAAGCAGGCTAAGGGATCATTTCTGGAGATTTATTTTTTAAGAAAATAGACACACCTGACAGGATGGGTTTAAGATCCATTTGATGCTGTTTTGAGGTGAAAGAAGGAAACAACTGCTTTGTTGGAGTCTCAGCATTACTCGCTATCATAACTCTTTCATGAGGGATTTGTAAAGATGTATCTCATCTGAAGCTAATGGGTCTGCATTTATAGCAGTATTATTTTCCTACATATCTGGCAAAAAGATCAATGAAGCTGGCGTAATGCACATCTGAGTGTGCTGCAGTAAATATAGCTATTGTATTCATCAAGGAGAAGACTCTAAAAATGACTGGTTTCCTTTAAATAAGGAATTATCAAAAAAAATAAAATTCCATTAGGAGCTTCTTTCCCCTATAAAATGTAGTTATGGATAAATTCTACTGATGTATAATGTTGGTAAGCATCAATACTCTTCTATGATATAACAGGTTTTTTCAGTAACAATATTTTCATAATAGCATTTTCAATTTGAAATTTAAAAATTATTATACTTTCTGTGTGTATGTGTGTGCATGCACATGCATGTAAATGTGTGTAAAAACCCAGAGAACCATGTATTGCACGATAATAATGTGCAGCCAGAAATATTGTAGGGTTTTAGGTGTTTGACAGGTAGGTGTAAGTGCTCTCTATGTCACAGCTGCAGGCACATATCCTAGTGCCAGCTCTCCACACCTCAATGTCCCTTCTCACTGAAGTGACACCGAGGGACATAATGGTCTTTCAGATTGGAAAATGAGGTGAAAAAATAGCATTTATGATAACCACACAATGTATTAACTAGCTCATCCCCATCCATCTCCCAGAGCTACAACTTTTTTCATTGCTGCAGTGTTAGAATGAATCTAATGCAAAAATTCTGAATCAGACTTTTCACCAGACAAGAGGTTACTAAAGGTAACACTACCAAAATGCCATCTCTCTATTTCTGATCCCTTCTGTCCTCTGGACATCTCTTCTAATGGATGCCAAATGTATGGGGAAAATTATCTTAAGTTAGTAAGAAAATTACTCCTGAGTTAGCTTATAATGGCAAGAGATTTCAGACTGATGTAGTTATTTGCACTACTATAAAAAGACTGGGCTGTTATACCTGCCCCTTCATAGCAACGCAGTCCTCCAAACCGTTTCTGTAGGTGGGATCCCTGCGCTGCCATTTGGTGAATGTCACAGGAGTCTCATCACTCCACTCAAAATAGAAGTGAGCTTTCAGGTCGTTGAGACCCAGCCATAGCTCTTCTGTTGGCTCTGAAGCATGAAAAGAAACAGATTTCTTCACAGTCTGCTATGCAATACAGAGAACATTTTCACACCTGGAGCAAAGAGACTGATAAACCTGGGATGTGGTACATGAGATGTGCTCTTTATGCTTTAATGCTAGTTTCCTCTCAGATCTGCCAAAAGAGATGTCTTCATCTGTACCAAACAGGCCTCAGATCCCACACAGAAATACATAGTTTAATAAATATAAGGGTCTCTGTAGCTGGCAGAAGATTTTTACAAACTTCCTGAGTATCTGATTCAGAACAACAAAATGGCCCCTAGTGTGGAAGGTAGGAGAGGGAGTGTCCCACCTGTCAGGATGTCATGCTGAGCCCAAGCCATGAAACATCTGTCAATAGACCTCCTTAATGAGGAAGCATTAGAGGGTTTGTAGTAGCTCACCAGAGCTGTTCACCAAGTCCAGCACATTTCAGAACTGGTTACTACAGCTCCAAGGAAAACCAGAAGTTAAAAGATGTTGTTTTCTTAGAAGGATATACAGCCAGAGGCTAGTCTCAGCAAGAGGTTTTAATCTCAGTGAGAAGTTAAATTTCTTATAGGCTTGAAACTCAGTTCTGAAGATATTAAATATAGAATAAAGGTGCCCGGAGTGCAATTTTTTGAGAGCTTTACATGTCTCAATTTTTTTTCTTTTCCCACTTTATAAGGTTTACAATGTAGATTATTTCTTGATTAATATGAATATACTTTAATGTTTATGCAACCACACCAACACAAAGAATGCCATCAGTTAGATTAAGCCTTCCCCTTGTGACATTTCAGGGAAAAGAAAAAAAAAATAAGTAAGAGTAATATGAAACCCTGCTTTTATTTTACAGATGGGGCAAACAAAATACAGGCCTACATATAATACTTACTGTAACCAAGCTGTGACAATAGAAAGCTGTATTCAGCAATGTTGTGCACACTCGCCAAATCTCCATCTTGATTCTTACATGAAGTCAGAGCATCTTTCCATGTTTTGAGTTCTTGTTGAAGGCTGTAGCAGTGCCCTGCATATGGCAACCAACCATCTGTGCACTTAATAGCTCTCAACTCTTCTAAAATTAAAGCACAATTTTTCAGAGCAATTTTCTAAGAGGAAAATAAAGGGGACTAGATTGAGGACTCTCAAGCACTCTTTACAAAAGTACAACTAGATGAATAAACATAAAGCTGTAGTTAGAAATGCAAATATATTCACATGAAAAACAAATAGCACAGTATTCTAAATATGCAAATAGATTGATGTCTCCTTAAGCAGAGAATCATTAAAAAATGCCCCTGTTGTGTCAGAGATGCAATTTGAAATGATGCTCTGGGAAGAAAGAGAGACCAAAGCACACTTCAGGCTCTCTCCTCTTTGCCCTCTGGAGCAGTTTGCTCAGTGTGTCCTGGTCTCCTGTGCTGCCTGTGGTGGCTGACATTAGGCTCTGCCTCCTGGTCAGTGTCTTGTTGCAAACACACACATAATTTTAACATATGGAAAAAGCTTGCAGTAATTCTTTGGTCACTGCAGGTCAGAAAATGGTGCAAATCAGTGCAGAGCCAGTAGTTTTCTTTTCATATTAACTCAGTGTTTTTTTTATTACTTAGGTACTTAAATATCTTTAGAAGCTCAAGGTAAGCTTGTTTTAAAAAATAGATTCCTCAATTTCTTTTTGAGGTTACTACGTTAATAAAGATTCTCTGAATTTATTTATCTGCTACTTGTTTAATATAACATTCCCAGATTACAGCCTGCAGCAGATCCCTCCTACGTGTGGCATGTCCATAGCTGTGTTGTGTCACTGAAGCCGTAGGTCACGGTGGCCCATGGATGAACTGTAGCCTGTGTGAATATCACTGCTCCTCCTGCTCTGCTCATATGAACCCAATGCATTGCATATTGTTGTCATCAGAGGATTGTTTGCATTAATAGTAGAGTAACTGCAATTGCTCATTTGGAGCAAATTATAAGCATAACATTTCTACTGTATTTATTACTGTATTTATGCAAATTGGATGGCTGGAAAATTGGATGACAGAGCAGCTTCGATGTGCCTTGCAAGAAGGAATGACAGAGTGATGGAACATAATAACAATATTCTAAGAATTATTAATACACAATCAGAGGACATAGGCAGTATATTAGTCTAAGTGTGCATGTCTAGCTGTGTTTTTCAAAGCTTTTTATCATCTTGGTTGAAAAAATAATTATTCATGCCTTTTATCATTTGCAGTTCTTTAAAGAATGCTCTTTCTAGAAGTTTAAAAAAAAAAAAAAAAAAGCACCATTTTTTCTCTGAATAACCTACCTTTGGGTATAATGTCAGACTTTGAACTGAAATTTCTCTTTTTACAAATGTAGCCAAGTCTCTGGTTACATGCTTGGTTTTCCCATTTAGCATTCTTTTTGGGATTCATCACTCCACAGATTTTCCCAGGGAGCAGGAAAGGACTTCCTTTGGGTAAAAGACAAAACAGAATCTTGCAGCAAAACCAAAACAGTAGATGTCTTTAAATATTGCTGTCACAAAGAAAACAAGAGACGACAAAAACAACAAAACAAACAGAAGAATTGCCCACATGTGAGGAGCACCACAAACTTATCTCGGTTTCCCTTCCTCGAGCTGGCCCAGTGCGATTTTTCATAAACTGCTGAGGAATTCTGAGCTGGCTCTCTATAACATGCAGAATTTCTCCAGACAACATAGTGCCATTATTTTCTAAATATTTTGCTACTTTTGGAAGATTTTATTTATAATATTGAACAATATGCTATGAAAAATTCTGGTCTCTGATCTGTAGGCTTATACATCACTACAAATGACATTCTGCTTTCATAAACAAGTTCTTGCCTCAGATAAGAAAATAATAGAAAATGCTATAGCTGATCTTCACAGTACACTTTGTATTTGAGAAGTGTGCTTCTAAAAATGAATATCTAGATCTTTGGCTATTGTAAATCAACACAGGCTTTCCTGAAATACAGGTAGCTAAGGCAGTTTTTATTAGTTAGTGTCTTAACAGTATTTGTTCAAAGATTACAGAATAGATTGTTGTATTTCTTACCTGGAGCCCAGTTTAAATATCTGAAAGGGCTGCCCCCAGCCCATTGCCATCCACTGTTGAAATTCAAAGCATTCAAACCAATCCAGAATGGAAAACTGAAGTTTTTTATTAGCTCTAAATTAGAAAAAAAAAAAAAAAAAAAAAAAAAACACGTTAGCTGTATCTCCTTATCCTCATTCTTAACAATTTCATCTTAAATAAATAAAGCCAAAAGTAAACAATTTCTATTTTGCAGTTTAAACCAGCCCAAATCCAGTACTTTCTATATTTCTACAGATTAAAAAAGCAAATATGTAAATGAATGAGCATTGATTTAGCAGAGATCTCGCTAGTTAAAAAGGCAAACAAACATCTTTCACTGTTTAAATAAGACTTTACTTCTCCCACTTTCAATCCAATATAATTTAATTAGGGAATTGTGCTAAAATATTTCTACAACAGACTTCATGGAGTATTGTTATTACAGAAACAATGTGCCAATCAGTTACTTCTAGATGTTTTTCTGTGGTTTCAAAGCCTTTGTTATGCCATTTAGTATGCAACTGATACCACAAGACTCGCATTTGAATTCCACTGGAGTTATTTGGAGTTTGTGTACACATATGTACCCATATTAGGACCAATCTAGCCACCAACATATGTTCTCCCTGAAGATTAATAATTCTTGAAACACAGGAGAAGGTAAATTTAAGGACTAGATCCTGCTCAGGAATGAGTGCACCAGGATGAAGGCAAGTGGACAAAACCTGTCCCCTGGAACAGGATGGAGAAGACGCAGTAGCTTCTGCCTGGAGCACAAAGCTGATATGGGGCAATTTCCCTCCCTGTAGAGGTTTGGGACCAATCCTTCATAAAAGAACAGCAACCAATGGAAAGGCAGCTCAGAACGCCTCTTTTTTAGCAGCTTATGAACCACCCCTGATGACCTGTTTTCTTCAGTGAGACAGAGCTTTAGGGACAGCACAACACTCCAAGATATTTTAAGGTTTTTTCTCTGTCCTTTTACCTCCTATATATGCCTGCTCATGTATCTCTGTGATACTTAATAGCTCTGCATTTTGCTGCTGACAGCTTTTCCTTGCTTGGTGCCATGTTAGAGCTGATTCTGAGTTTATCTGATAGTGAATACCAGTTGAAACATCTTCTGTCCAAAATCTTTCTGTGTCATCTGGAAAAAGAAGTGAAACAGAGCACTTCTGTTAACATGTTGACGTTGCATCAACCAAAAGCCAATGAAGTATGTAATGATGCAAGTCTCTAAAAATGAGCAGTATTAACCATATGCTATCATTGGTTTATAAGCACCAGAAAACTTGAAATCAGAATAGGCATAACTTTTTTTAAATTGTGTTTATTTTTTTGTAATTAGATTTTTTTTTCAAACTTCTACATTTTTAAAAGGGAGTGAATGTGTTTCCAGTATTTACTTTTACACAAAATGTAGCACTAGGTAAACCAGCTGTATCTGTTTAGTGAATATAAGAGACTCCAGGGCGAAGTCAGAGGAGAAAAGCAAGTGTGTAGATGGACTATATCCCTGGAGGCTCTTCATCCTCATAGGGCAAGAAACTCCCTCTTAGCTCACCATCAAGAGAAGCAGCTTTTTAAAAAATGGCAGAACCTGGCCCTTGACAACCCAAGGAGCTGTAAAAGCAGTCTTTGGAGCACCTATGTGCACATAAAGAGCAGTCTTTGTTTGCAGAAAAGCTCCCCAAACCTCATGAAACTGTTGTGGTTTTGGGAAGCCAGTTGATGAGAAAAATGAAGTGGTCCATGTGCAAAGGCAGAGGAGTCCAAACACAGGTGAGGTGCAGAAGGTAGTACAAAGATGGCAAAGGAAGATCATTTGAACAACAGCATTTTTGTGTAAACTGGGAATAGGAGTCAAGAACAAGAGTGGAAATGCATGTTAAGGAGAGAAAACACTATCTAGCAGTGAGAATTGACCTGCAGGGCAAGTCTGAGGTATAAACAGCAGCAGTCATTTTTTTAATTGAAACTATCAGTCTAGATTCATGCTGGTCGTGCCATGCACTGGCGTTACAGAAAATGAGACATCAGGGAGCCTCCTCACCTCTCTGGTCCACAAAAGAGAGATCCACCTCCAGCAGGTGAGTCAAACTCTGGCTGGGCTGCATAACACTCCAGAGGCAGCTGTTCCTCTCCACTCACTATAAAGGGACCACGTGGCTTCTGGGGCTATTGCTCAATCAGATGATGTTCACTGGGGCTACTATGACAAGGTTTGTCCTGAAGGTGTGTAATTGGCAGCTGGAAATTAACCTCGTAGCTCAACAGATGTCTTTCTCAACAACACTTCCTGACAAGTAAATTAATAAAATGCAGGACTTACTTATTAGTGGGCAAAATCCATACAGTTTATCAGCATCAAAGTCTGCAGTTGTGGCACACCAGAGCCAGCCATCTGATCTACCAGCATCTGTGCACTCATTGTACTCTTTGCCTTCATATTTGAAAGGAAATACACATGGCTGTCCATTGGCATTTCCCTGTAATGTAAAGATTGCTAGGGGGAAGAAAGTGTTAAGAGGATGTGTAAAAATAATAATAAAATCATAAATATGACTTTCTAGTAATGGATCTAGGTATTGATGTATCTGTATATCTAAACTGAGAGGTCACACCTTCTTTTAAAATTCTATTCTATCATTTTTACCCCTTGTGTAGCTAAAGATTTTAAATAAAATATTGTGTTAGTAAAATCTGGGTTTTAAATTTAGAGTTTGATATCTCTACTTTGCAGGCAAGCCAAATTTGTTGGTGATAATTTAGGAAAAAAATTTTCACAGAAAGAGTGGTTAGACACTGGAATAGGCTGCCCAGGGAGGTGGTTGAGTCACCATCCCTGGATGTGTTTAAGGATCTTTTGGATGTGGTGTTGGTGGATATGGTTTAGGGGAGAACTTTGTAGAGTAGGGATGATGGCTGGTCTCGGTGATCCTAAGGATTTTTTCTAACCTGAATAGTTCTATGAATAGATTCTATGAATATGATTCTATGAATAGATTCTGAATAGATTCTATGAATTTGTGGTTCCTGAAGACAGAAGAAATACTAGTAAAACTCAGACCATTACTTTATGTTTTTGTATTCCGTACAGCTCAATGGGTTTGCTTTATCAGTCCATCTTTTCACTAACTGCTTAAAGAAAAAGGATAGCTGACCAGAGAGAACACAGACCATGTTGTCATGAGCTTATTTACACAGTATTTTAGGTTTCCATTGCACATTTCTGCACTTGGAGAGGTCTTGCAGATTCTACCTCAACTCAGATTCTCTAAGGTTAGAAATGCTTCATTTTTTAAACCATCACAGTATTACAGGAGTGTTCTTTTATGCTGACATTTCTCGTGTATGCTCTCAAGTTCACATTCATGCAAAGACATGAATCTGTCCAGTTCTACATACATTAATGCTTTACCATTTTTCCTATAGCTATACCCAATGACTGAAACACATCTTCAGACTAGACCTGTTCTTCTAATTTGATCAGACTGGAGGGGAGGAGTCAGTTCTTCCTTCTCATACCTCATGTCTTGGAGAAGAAAGAGAAACTTGCAAAGCTGTCATAAAACATGACTCTAAAACCCTTTGACCAATCACTGGTCTGGGTGTGGTGAGGAAGGTAAATGGAAAGAACTCCATGTTTCCATATCTCTCATTTCCCTCCTATAGTTTGCCATTTTATTTAATATTTCCACAGAAATATATTCCATTTTAAAGTCCCTGCTCTTATTACCTCTATTTCCCACAACATTCCTGCATCACCCCTCTTTTATTCTGTGAATCAAGAACTGCCAGTATATTCATAGAATCATAGAACCATTCAGGTTGGAAAAGACCCTTGGGATCACCGAGTCCAACCATCATCCCTACTCTGCAAAGTTCTCCCCTTAAACCATATCCACCAACACCACATCCAAATGACCCTTAATCACATCCAGGGATGTTGACTTGTAATACATAACAAACTCTTTACAGCATGGATCAGATCAGATCACAAATACAAAATAATCTATCTATGCATTAAAACTGTAAAGCTGCCCAAGAAAAAACATTTGCATATCTAGTTTAACACAAAACCAATAGGAAACTTACCCAGTGACTGTAATGGACCATGCACAAGGGAAAGAAAAACTAGGAACCTGGAGAAACTCATTGCAAATGTAACTTGCTTTTCATTCCTCTACCAAAAGCTACAATGTAAGACTGGCAGTGTATAAAATCCTTCTGAGTGAGGACAGTGACAGGTCCTTCTCTGTGTCAAAGGGTTGATGTATAAAACTCTGTACTCTAAATAAGGAAATATCCTGTCACATGGTATTTTGAAATAACCCGAATGCACATTGCAAACACTGCTCTTTTTGAAGAATGAGTTACTTCCAAAACTGAAGGATAGAGAAACTACAAGTGGTGACATTAGTCTTTCTATGGGACTTTACTGGTATTATATATGGATCCATTGTTGAGGTGCTACAGAGGACAAACCTCTAAAAAAAGCAATTTGAGTACTAGTGACAAGGACCTGCAGTGAAATATCACTGATTAAAAACTCGCTCTCTCCTTTAACCCTTACATCTCAGAAAGAAAGGAAGACAAAAACCCAGTGGTTCAGCACATCACTATAATGTCATCACTCTGTGTATCCAGAAGAAAGCAAACAAGTTTTACAGGATCTGCAGTATTGAGTGCATTATGAATTCCTGTTCACTTTGAGGGCTAGTTTTGCTGGTTTTCCCTGCACTGTTACCCTGCTTTCTTTGATCACAGTTTGAGGCTGAGCTGTTTGTAACTACCTGTTGAAGATCTGAGAGAAGTTGTTCAGTGCTATAGCCTACTGGGAAAATTCTTTGCAACCAGAGGGAAACTTTTGCCTGGAACACATTTGTCAAGCAGAACAGTGTGTTAATCTGTCTGAAAAATTCCTAATGAGGATGTTCCAGGACAAAGAAAAATGTAAGCTAAATTGGAAAAACTTTTATCTGTGAATAAACTTCATCTTCATCTGAACATTTATCTTAGCATGGTAGTTCTTATTCAACTATGCTGAAAGGCTCCTCTGGCAAATATTCATATGCAGACAAGTCCTACTGTTCCTTCTGTTTATTTACATCAGTGAAATTTAAAGAAGTTGTGAAAATGAAACTCAAAAAAGCAAGAAGTTAAATAGTCACTTCTATAGAAGCTGAACAGAAGATGTCATATGAAAAGCAATTATCTTTAGTTTTTCATAAGGTATTAGGGGAAATTATTGCAAGACCTTATAAAGTACTTAATTGTTAGGAAGTACTAAGAGAATAAAACATTTTCCAAAAAAAATGTCTGGATTTCTGTAAAAATAGGAATTTAATAAATTGTTTAATAATTGCTGTTTGATTTGCAGGTGACATTCAGGGAGAGATTAGTGTGAGCAAGGCAAACAAGAGTAGCCCAAAATCATAAAGCTGAGTGATGCCACAGACAACAGTAGGGTGGAAGAGAAATTAGAGTGTACTGAGAGTGTACATATCTCAGATATGTCTGAAATCACAAAATAAAATGGCTCCCGGAGACAAGATCCCAAGGGAAAATAGCTGGAGGACACAATTGGAGGCTAGTTCCCTTCTCTGCCTCTCAAAGTGCCAGCTGTGTTCTAGTTCAAACCGGATGACAAGCTAGTGCACCTCTTGTGCCTGTGAGGATTCAGCTCCTCAAGGCTGCAGGGAAATGGGGGGAAATCAATGCAGACACTGAGGTAGGCTGGAAGGATTGAGTACTTCAGAGCTGCCTCTTTCACATGAACAACCAGCTTGTTATAAAATTTTGGGTCCAGTGTCCTGCATGCTGCTTTTCCCTTGTGAAATAACCTGGTCTCACCAGTGTGCTAAATTCTGTATTGTATTTACAGCAAGAAAACACCAAGAATATAAACTTCACTACTTTTTATTATTATTTATTTAAACTTCCCAACTTGCTTAGGAGAGCCTGTGCAGCCTAAGGAAGGCATATTCCTTGCTGGGACTAAGCACTCTTCCCCCTAAAATATTAAGTGTCTAAATTATATAAGCTCACCTATATGCTGTTTATACTGCTTTCCCTCATATTCCTGACATCTTAAACTTAGTTTTCCTGCAGATTCTTAATACAGTATAATCTGTTGCATTCCTTAGTTTTCAGTTCCCTTTTCTCACATTTAAAAATGGCAAGTTGGTGCTTATTCAAGCTGAATTCAAAGCGGCAGGGAGAGAAGCCCTCCGTGTTATTAATAGAGTTATGGACAGGAGCACTTTCCTTCCCCTTTCTTCTCACTTGATTCACTTTATTTATTCCAAAGCATTAACAAAAAGGAAGAACACAAGTTCAAGGAGTATTTTAATTTGTTATCATGAACATGTTACAGTTTGCAATCATATAAAACTGAAAAAATACAAAACCTACAGTTGACCTTCATATCCTTTGCTGGTATTAACTACATTTTCCACAGCAGAAAAATAAAATAGGAAGGTTTTCTTTCCCAGAGTTGTCTAAGGTAAGTATATGAAGCACCATCTTATAAGTGTTATAAGATATAGTTATAAGGAACAATAAAATGCTGTTCTGGTGGAGCCTTTGGGGTAAAACAAGTCTAAGATCGCAACAGAGTTCAGCAGATTTTATTTTTTAAATTCTTTGCAGTGTCCACAAAATCATGGGAATACAATTCTAAATAGTAATCACACTTCATTGAACATTCATTCTCATTAGTTGACTTTTATGGTCCTTTTTCAGTACTTTATTTTGTTGTTGACAAGATTTTAGCCCTTGTGTTTTTGCTGAGGCACTTGAGAATATCCTGACTGTTACAAAACTATAACATCAATCCACTAATTCTGATTTTGTGAAATATCCATTATACAAAAGAGGCTGCTGATGCAAAAGAAGAAAAGGGATGACACTTAAGATTCCTGGTATCCTCACTAAAAAGTTTTAACAGAGAGACATTCTTTAATTTCAGCAATTTCTTCTTCCTCTGAATCAGTACATGCCACAGGACCCATTCTCACCAATTCTTCAGTCACGGACATATCATTCTAGAAGTGTGTCATTGCCAGAATCTGCTGATAGTTGTCTTTGTCTTTTTCTCTTGTAGTAGTAAACTGACACACCAGCTCCAAAAAGAGTAAGAATAGCCAAGAAAAAGAGAGGCCAAACAGAAAGATGAAAGGGTGGGTGAGTCTTTTCCTTGCCTGAAATGAATGCATTAGACTGTTAAAAGCCTTGGTAATTTTTATTCCACATACAATATGAAAAACAAGATGATGTTCTCTCCTGCCCCAACTTGGAGTCTGTTCAGTGGAAATCAGAGCCCGGAGCGGTTGCTGATCAGTAGCCTGGTCCCTGTTACTAAAGCTAACATTGTTTTAATGGATCTGGATCACAGCAATATATAATGCATGCTTGTAAAAATTTAATGCAAATGCATGCTTTAGATATGGGATACTAATTATTTGAAAAATATTTTTTCTATATTCTAATGTTAATTACAAAAATACGTATGGAATAGATTTACATGTATATCTACATAGGTTTTAACAGTCTATTTAAAGCTCTCTGTGCCTGTCCTCAAAGTTAATCACAAGCTGGGTCACTGTTGAGCTGGTCAGCTCAGGGTTAGCCCAACAGCAATCCAGCCCACCAAGAACACAAGTGTTCATGTGCATGTAAAAGGCAACATGGGATTACCCTGAGTCATGTGTAAACAGGTATCCCAGGAACTCACAGCAGGACTTGTTCTCTGGAAGGGGGCAATTTGGGAAAACTCATTTTAAGTGTTTATTTTATCTAGGTTTTTATTAATTTTATTATGAAAGCTCTTACCTTTTTGCTGTACAGGACTCTCACTTAGCTCACCTTCAATTAATATCAAAGAGAAACAATATGACACTTCATTAGAATTTACAAGTTTTACTGTTTTGCTAGACAGGAACAAAAACCCCTGAAGTGTTACTATTTCATTGATAACATATATATCTGTTATAAAAGACAACATAAGTGAGGCAAAAAAAATGTTGCTAAGGTTCTACCTTCCCATTTCACTTTACCAAACCATAATATTCAATCATTTAAAAATTTATATTGTCTTTATATCTACCAACATTCAAATACCTACTATTTTCTATGTTCATTTGAAAATACCTTCTCACATTTCTCCTTAAATATTTCTTTTAATTTACTAAGAGCACAATGTACAACTCTGCAGATTAACTTCATGTAGCACATTTTGCAAAGCTCTGCATGTCCAGAATGATTCTGTTACAATTAAATTTAGGATTCTTGGATGTCTTCCCTGGATAAAAGCCCTCTGAATCAAGGCTGTAATCTCTCCATTTGCTTATGCATAAGAAAGAGACAGAGAAAAAGAAAGTACCTTTTTGACATGCAAAAAATGTTTGACATTCAGAAGAGAAAAATTAAGCATATTGGATGTTCTTATAATGTAAGAAAAACTCTTCTGAGTCAAGGGTCCCTGAATTACCAAGAATTACCATATTTCTCCTCTCGGCTTTGTCGCATTACAGTTTGCAAACACACTTGCTATCCAGGGGAGAAATTATAAAGGCAAAAAAAAAAGTAAAATGAAATAAAAGCAGAGCATAATGTAAAATTAATAGGAATGAAGCAAGAGGATCCCCTACCAAGGCAGGAAATTACTACATATGAGAGCATCTTATAAGTCAATCAGTGGATTTCAGTGTTTCCTCATTATTTTTGTACTATATGGGATGAAACATAATTTGGATACTCTTAGAACATCTTTAAGGGGTATTAACTGATTTACTGCTGTGTCCATTTGCTGATTTAAGCAAGAAAACTAAGTGCATGAGATTACTGTTTCTTGGTACATTTCAGTTTGCTTTTTTTAATTAAAGACTACATTTGCAAAATTATTAAAACCCAACCTCAAATTTTCCACTATTTTTCTGTGAACTACTGTGTCTTCTGAAGTATTGAAATCACATCCTTTTGACTTTTCATCTGAACAAAGGAATCTTAAAAATTGTTTTACACAAGAAATGACGTTTTCAGCATAGGATGGAGACGTTCCCCATGATTCACTGGGGGCAATGAACAATGCAAATGCTGGAAAATTAAACCTGATCTCACAGTCACTAAAGATGGAAGTATGAAAGTTTAAAGATGGCAACCTGCCATTTTTCAGGTAAGATTGATTTTAAAACCTGACTTAAGAAAATGAAATGTTAGTGCTCTCTTTCAGATAGTTATATATCTTTTTGTCTCTCCACTAGAGAATACTATATGTGGGGTTTTAACTCTGAAATATTAGTCTGGCATATACAGAACTGCATGAAATTTTCCAGAAATGCTGATAAGACAGCTTCTGTAATGTCTTGAAATTTTCATTTAGTAGGGAAGTACTCCTTATGTAATTATTGCAACATAAACAGCTGCCCTTTTAGTATCCCTTAAGCATTGCTGACATTAAGGCTATTGAACGAAGCCCAAAATTAAGCAGATTTTTACATTGTGCAGTAATACATTTTTTGAGTACAACAAACTTACAAAGAAAGCTTGATTATTTGCATTAATTCCTCCTTGTAAGGGTAATAACTGTTCCAATACTTAGTCCCTGGACAAGTTGTGAGTTTGTACTAGTGTTTGACAGATGCAACATCAATGCCTGTGTTAGGTATTGAAAAGTTTTCTGGAAGTCTCATTCTCAAGCTAGGATGTATACAGCACATTCCCATATTCCCATGTGAGTGCAGACAGTGATGTGAAGAGCTCACAGAATGCAAAAACAGGTAATTGCAAATGTTTAGAAAAGTGAGATATGCCAAATGAAACTGTCAGAAACAACTTCCAGACCTGTGGAGTGCTAGAGCAGTTACTAGTAAACAGATCTGCTCTGTCTCTAAGGACTGAGTCCACTAAAGGCTTACCTTTGGGTTTTTTGCAGATAAATCCTTTTTCAGAAGAGCAATCAGAGTTGTCCCAGTAACCAGATGGTGCAGTCATTTCAACACAGTGATGCTCCACACTGGACTCTTTCTCCTCCCAGTTGACAAAGTCCAGCACAGCATTATCTAGCCACACCCACTGTCCTAAAGAGAAACGTACAGCACAAAACAAAATGTATATTTTTACTCCTTCATTCAGCAAATTACTTTAAAAATGTAATAGTAATCCACTTTTCAGCAAAGACCACTTCAGTTATTGTGAAAATACAGTTATCCTTACTTTTCTCATATTAGCAAAACATTTCTAAGTTAAATATTGAAAGTATGACATTACCATCCACATTTCGGTACAGTCCTATCCAGAAGCCTCCTACTTTATTTCCAAGTGGCTGTATAGTATGGATCAGAAAGTCAGATTCATCCATGTTTTCTACTGAAACCAAGGTAGCACCTGAAAGGCATTAACAAACAAATAACCATTACCTATGTGAGCAACTATTGCAAAGAACTCTTCTTTCAAACTTGCGCAAACAAAACTTTTGAAAGTATTATGCATACTACTCTGCTGGCATCCCCCCCCCATTGCTTTTTGCCAATGACAGAGCCTAGGAGGTGCTTAGTAGCCATGGCCCACTCCCACCATTCTCAGGATGGTGATCCAGAAGCTGGGTGATGACAGGGAGCTCCTTACCTGGAGATGCTGCAGCCCCTGGGAGGACAGATGGCCCCACAGAGTTGCTTGTGTCAATTTACTTTCATTGTGTCTGATTAGCTCAGTAGGTAAATAAAGTATTTCTATTTATCATTTTTTAATCATGTTTACATTTATATGTGAGTTTTTAATAAAATTTTGTACACATCTTGTCAGTTGATGATGAAGACTCTCACCTAGCTGAGCACACTCTAAGGAGGCCACTGCCCAACTTGTCCCAGCTGATGCTTCAAGGTAGTAGCAGTGGCCACCATAAGGGATCCAAGCTCGGAGTTCTGGTGCTTCAGGGCAGTCTCCGGGCAACTGAGCAGGGTCAGTAGGAGCCATAGCTAGAGAAACCATATGATATGAAATTGATATTGCATTATGAGTAGCCCATAAGGTAAAATATATGTGTAGAAAGGGTGAGATTTTTCTTACCCAGCTTTAACTATCTGGGTGTCTACTCTGGACTATTCCTACAGGGCCTCAGCTCAGAAAACAGGGAGGCTGAGGGAGTCAAGAGTGTTAAACATCTTATTTGTCCCATTACGTTTTTTAGAACAAGGAAATAAATTACATCTTGCAGCATCTAACTAACTGCCTTGGCAGTACTATGAGGAAAGCAAACCCTTAGGAACAGTTTAGGTCTGATCACATGTGCAACTCTAATTCAGTTGTATCAGTCTGCTCTGCATATGTGGAGCAAATTTAAGGCTGGAAATATTAAGTTGGAAGCCACTTTCAAGTGGCAAAATCTATCTTGTATCTAACGTCAGGAACAGTCTATAATATGTATTTTTAAAACCTCAAGCAGGGAAAAACAAAGCAATTCTATAAAATCTATGAACAAACATACCTCTGCATACCTCTACAAAGAGTTAAGGTATCATTCACACTCCCGTGGCTCCCACACCTACATAAAAACTGCCTTAGCTTTCGCAACAGTGAACAGAAGCAAAATTCTGTCCTGCGTTTTGGTTCAGTGACACCTGTGTGTGAACTTTTCCAGCTGAAGTCCACATAGTCAATGCATGTTCCCAGCACTTATTTATATTACACACAATCTGAAGTGTGATTTATGCTCACATCTTAGAAAGAGTGAAATACCTTGAAGATTGAGCTTCTTCTTATGTAGTTATGAGTACCATGAAAGCAGTGCAGCCAGATCCATTTATACAAGAGGCTTCCATGTGCCTGAATTCATATACCATCCAATAGCAAACTTCCAAACTCTACAGGGAGGTAGGCAGTATCTTGAAACATACTCCTCTGAGGGTTTTAGCCCAAGCCAAAGCAAAGTCTCTGGGATTAGTAAGACTACTAGAATTAGGAATGTGTTTTTAAAATTATGACATTATTTTACTTACCGTCTGAAGTCTTACAAATTGAAAAGTAGCTTTCATTGCAGGATGCTGTTTTCCAAGTACCATCAAGATCTAGGTAGACACAAGCATTTTTCTCCTTTGGTTCTTCTGCTGCCCATTTTGTGTACCTGGTTTTCCAGTTATCTGCCCATTTGTGATAGCTGTCAGTCTGAAAACAAAGCAGTTCTGGTGACAGTTTTTTTACATAAGAAGCTCTGACAAATAAACACAGTGTCCTATGTCTATTCAAGTTTTTCAGGACAAAAAAGCCCTTTGCTACTATGAGTTGTAAACACAATTTACTGTTCAAAACAATAACACTGGGTGCTCTGAGGTATGCAAGAACACAGTGATAAACTCAAATGAGTCCTTCTTAAGTAATTTAGTAAATCCTATGTCAAGAGAAGAAATTACAGAGAATTCATTCCTTCTACTCTGCTTTATTTAAATTAAAACTGGGAGCCATTTGGTGAGTAAGGGTTACTTAACATTAAACAATCAAAGTAACCTTAACCTTTCTCTCTAATACTCACAATAACTTTTATTACTATAATAATAGTTATCAGTAGCCCTCTGTTTAGCAGGGATTTCGACTGTCAGAATGGCCAATGGGTGCCTCATGGTAGCTGCACAACCTGGCTTGTAACTCTGTGCACCTTTCTTTTACCATTTCTAGAGCTTCCTACTTTCATCTATTGCTTCCTGCTTAACCTTTTCTGTGGCCCTTCATTTCATTTGGTGCATGAAAGTCTGAGTAACTCTAACAAGACCATTTGAAATGTAAGCATGTATACAGTATTCAGAGTACAGTTTTTTCAGCACTGTTAAAAATTAGGCATCCAGCAGGTATATAAAGAGCAGGAGAACTCACCAAGCACCTGCAGCTCCCATCTGTCCAGCACTTACCATACTGCTCTTTAGACCAATCCATACGGGTTTTCCATATTTCAACATCTGGATCCACAAGAAGGAGTGAATGTAGGCATCTGAAATGCTGGCAAGTTCTGCAGATTTATCTTGACAGTTTTTTCTGGCCTCTTCCCATTGCATTTCAGATGAGGTGATTGAGTAGCTACTGTCACCATAACGGACAAAGCCAGAGGACGGATTTGTTGTTGGTACTTCGTACTGGGTGGTAACTAGGGAGAAAAAACTGAATGGAGGAATTCACTCCACACCACTCATCTCCAGCATGGAAGACATCAAAAAGGTCCAGAATTAACTGTAAATCAAAATCTTAATCTAAGCTCATGAAAAATGTGTTAATTAAAATAAACGCACCACAAAACCAAAACAACAACCAAAAAATAATAATAATTGTAAAACATGAACCAAATTTTGTTAATTTAAAAAGAAAAGGGAAATCCTGGATGCCCTGAAGTAGAGAGTGTGCCTGGCCTGACCCATGCAGACTTAGGCTTATAAATCGGATATTTTAGTTCCCGTGCTTTAAGATATTTTTACTTAATCTGGATATCTGAGCATACACTTATTTCAGAGCAGTGTTGGAGAGGATTTAGGACTAGATGTTTAAGGTATCTACTGTTATACCCTGTTATCACAGCCTGAGATATTGATACTTGATGTTAATTGAACACCACTCACTGTTGATTCCAAGTCATTAGGCTGTCTGTAAGTGCTGTGTGAACATTATCTGCACATTTGGGTCAGGCAGTGTCTGTGTCCACCTTTGGTATTGTAAATGCATAAACAGCTGTAGCTGGAATTAAACAGGCTAAAAATGCTTCCCTAAGGCTGTATGTTTACTGTGCAGGAAAACAGGGTTTTTACAAGCCAGTTAGCTGTGCTTGCAATGAACAGGTTGCAGGACTTGCGTGAAAGAATGGGGCAGTTTTCACTAATGTTGTGATAAAGGTGAAGCAAAACTGTTTTATCTGTGTTTTGCATTTTGTACTCCTGTTACATGGCTGGAAAGCAGGGATTAGAATAATTACAGTGTTACAGCAGAGGCAATATTCATTACTTTGGTGTAAAAAATCTGTATTCTTCAACTATAAAGACACAGCCAAGAGGCTGTATATTTTAATAGACATCATATGGCATTCAGTAGAAATGTTGAGAGAGGAATAAATGCCCTGCTCAGAGACATCCAGGAATATAAGGAGATTATTATAAGGGCGATGTTTTATACTTAACTTAAAGAGGATGCCTGAAAGCCTCATATTTCCATTTATTATTCTCTAATATTCATTATTTAGATACAAATCCCTAATTAAGATGGTGGTTCCTCTCCACAAATTTCTGTGGAAAAAAAAATTTTACTTTTAAAACAGTACAGCCTTAAGACTGGTGGAGCTCTGAAAGCCTGAGAAACTCAGAATGAAACTCAAAACTGAAAGAAATCACCTTGGTTTAGATATTCAGCTTATCTAATGGAGATACTTATTCTATTTAGGAGACTGGATTAAACATTACTCACGTGAATTCATCTGGCATATGTAGCCTCTCTCATTGTCACAAGTGTCATCTCTCCATTTCCCCTCTGACTTAATGATGAAGACACAATCTGTCTGAAGGAGGGGGGAAAATGCACAGCCATTACAAAAGGTGATCAGGAGGTGCTGAGCTGAAGCTCCTATATTCCTAGTGCAAGCCTGATGGCAAAAAGGATGGGAGAAGTGCTCATTGAGGACCTAGGTAATTATTACTAATTTTCTAAGCTTTTGCCAAACAGCTTGACCTGGTGCTTATTAGTGATCCCTTAAATTTGAACTAGGCTTCCACTGGTTCAAGTAAGGGTCTGAAAGAAAGGTATGTAAAAAACAATCCTACTAGTTTTATTAAGAATCTGTTAACTAATACAGATATGACTAGGGTAGCTAGAATGTGTCCTCTCAGTTCTGATTTACAGTTAAGTAGAACTGCTTAAGAATTTTCCCATCTATGAGAAAAAAATTATATAAGAACCAATAATAAAGTACTGGTCTAGATTTACCTTAACTGAAGCAGACTATCTTACAGAAAGCAATTACATTTTACTAGTTGTTTTCAGTCATTATCAAGTTATTACTATCAGAGGTCTTCAGTAACAATCCCATCTTGCCTTTACTTCCTTATTTCTAATTGTTTCATTGCTGCCCTGATTTCAGGATTGGCTGTGACCATATTTCAGCATTTGACCCATTTTTATCTCTTATGCTGATTTAAACAAGTTTTAGTCATAAGCAGGTACACTGATGGTAGATGTTAAAAATCTCCAGTTGCTATCTGCCTTTCATTTTTTCTATGAGTTTCTCTCCTTTGGTTGGAAAAGAAATTTAATTTCAGCAGAGCAGTAGCTCTTTTATTGAAGATATCATTTTGTACCATCAGAAACTAGCAAAACAGTGGGGGAGCACATTAGCCAAGAATGGGACATATAGAGAGACAAATTAGTGTTGCACCAACAATCTTAATTTTGGTTTATCATAACTTTTCTAAATTTGGTGTTGCAACTTGAATGTTTTTGGATCTGCACCTTGGGGAGGGACTGATGGAATACATGCATCTTCAAGCTTGTTTTACAGAACTGGTATTTTGTAATGTCAAACGGAAAACACAAAGTCTCTTTTCTTCAGAACCTCTGCCGAATATATTTTATCTATTTGGAATGGTTATCCAGTGATTTGCTAAGTCCTTTCTGCTTAGAAAAGGACTTATTTCAGCATCTTGTTATTGATGCTGTAAATTCCCTTTTAGGGAAATCAACGAGCTGCCTAAGATATACAGGTTATTTAAGTTTCCTGCACCTCCATAGTGATGTCTGTCAATATTTCAGCATCATAATAGTCATAGTAGCTTTGTTTCTTTTCTGGTGCACCATTAAGCCAGTTGGTGTAGGAAACAGTACTTCCATCTGTCCAAAGAAATTCGGACTCTTTGTTGATATCATTCATCCCAATCCAAACATCTGTCATGGCATCCTTTAAATGATAGAAGAGGAAAGCTGGAGGGAAGCAAAAACTTCTCATTAAGGAAAGTTTATCCCGATTTACCCAAAACAGGAAAAATGTGCAAAACCCAAGAACTGGGGCGATATTAAAAATATAACATTTCCCACTAGATAGCCCGTCTGCCTTTAACTAAATGTGTAGATAAGCACTTGTAGGAACATATGTTACACAAGCATGAAGGCTGAAAAAACAAATAAAAAGAAAGTTCTGGAGCAGCTTAGAAAAAGTCCCCCTCACCACTGTGTATGCACATGTAGTATTCCAGCAAATCACACTGCCAGTGAGAGAGAGAGAAAATACAAATGCCTCTGAGTTTGACAGACTATGCAACCACACTCCTAACAGACTAGAAGTTTTATGAAAACCGAGCTATTGAAAGAACTAGAAACACATGCTTTATTTCTTTTTTTGCAATACTTCAAATACTGTTTCACCCTTTTGAGTTAAAACCAGGCAGTTAGGCAGTTTGAGTTAAAAGTGTAAACTGACCCATATAATATGCGATTTTCAACAGATATTTCTGTAATCTGTTTTGGAGAGCCTAGCAGTTTCTTTAGTGGGAGATTAATATCTTTCCTTTCAATAGAGCCCATACATGTACCTTGCACTTGTTCATTTGGTATGGTAGCCAAGTTTCCTCCCAAATTCATACAAGCGTCTCGTGCAGCATGCCACATGAGCCTTCTTGTTATATCTGAAGAAAATATTTTGAAACACTAGGGAAAAAAAGCAAACACTTCATTCAAACTAGCAAAGATTGGAATTGTTGCATGTGAGTAATATCCATTATCTATAGAAAATAGATTTCTCCAGATAAAGAAATCAGGGCTAGAATAAGTGACAAAGCTAAAAGTGGAAAGTATATATGTCTAGCCAGATAGTTATTTAGCCCCTCTCATTACACAAGGTGTAATCCAGAAGTCTAGTATCATCTGAATTGATTTCAATGATGTCAAGTACATAACCTCCTTTTACATTTTCATCTGCCTGCTACCTACAGTAACAGTGGGATCACTTAAAACCAAGAAAATGTGGCTTTGGGTGACACAGATGCAGCTACTGTGCCTTGTCCTGCTTCTAGTGACTGTGGTTATTTATGACTGTTCATCTCACCCAAGAGTATGAAACATCCCTTCACACGTTGACCCAACATTCTGAGGATGCAATAGTAGCCCAGTGTACACAAAGTAGACAAAACAAACTTTGGCAAATAGAGCTTCAAGTCAAATGAGTACAAATTCTGCTACATCAATGAGGACATCCAGACCACCTATGAAAGTAGAACTATGTTGAAAACAATTGTAGTTTGGCATCCTCTTTCTGAACTCAGAGTTCTGGGAACCCTGTAGTAACCAAAGGGGTTGTTCAAACACAGTCTCTTTAAATCATTCCACCTGAAAGGCTCTTTTTTCAAGACTGACTCCTACAAATTTCAGTTCCTAATATTAATACATAAAACTGTAGAGGAGGAAGAGAAATTTTCTTAAATAGTAACAGTGTATTTTAAGCCTGCACAAATTATGTTATTTGTATTTTATTCATCACACATTTACTTTTCCTGTATTTCTCTGCAAAGTTAGATGTCAATAGTTACCTCCAAAAAGCCCAGCCATCCAGCCAGCTTGTTCAGACTGAATAATTACTCTCTGGATTTATTTTATAATCATAAAAACCTCATGTTTTTTACAGTTCTTTTCTTCAGTTCCACTGCTCTACACAATTTACTGAAGTTCCTTATTGACATACCTTGCTGTTAAAGAAAAACCAACTTTCTGGACATCCTCCAGGAGGCAGTGAAGAAGTAAATGTTGACTTAATAGTACTGTTATGTTTTTCACATATGAATTGATGAGGTGAACCACAGTTCACATCATTCCACAAGCCTAAAAACAATTAGATTGAATAAACAAATCAAGATGCTATAGTATTTGTAACAGTAACTTAGCAGTTCTTGTTTTGAGTTATAAAGAGGCTAATCTCCGCTTTTCAGACCAATTAAGTGAGTAAAAGAACCATACACTACATTTATACAGTCAGCTATTTTTTACAAAGTGAAGCTGTTTATGAACTTTACCTTCTCAGCACTGTTAGTGACTGGGCTATGGTTTAACAAATGAAAAAAAAATAAATAAGTAACTGGGATAAAAGGGCAAATGACTAAGAAGAATGCTCTGGTCATCAATTTACTTCATTCTATTTTCTCTGTTTGAGAGGATGTGTGAGGTACCTACAGAAACCTGAACGTTGTGGCACTGGTTCTGTGGGAAACTGACAGTTGAGTGGGCTACAGTCTAAGACATCACAGAGGGCTACAGTCATCTACATGTAGGCAACTGAAAGTAAAATCTGATAGTTTAGTTTTGTTACTTACCATGCTCTGACAACATAACCACACAATTTTCCTCATTATTTGCAAAGTTGGGTTCATTAGGAGCCCATGCCACATAGGTTACTGGAGTCCCATCTATCCAGCTTAAAGAAAAGATATACAAATAGATACTAACTAATACATTTAAACTGGGACATGAGAATCTTAATTAACAACTCCATGAGCATTAATAAAACTGGCTAAAACTGGAAGGAAGGACAGTTACAGATTTTCCTCTCTTTACCCAGTTATTCTAATTTGAAAACATTTATGGAAAATATAACTGGTTGCAAAATAAAAAAAGAAAACATCAAGTTTATTTTCCATTAATGGGCAGAAACAACCAGACATCATCTAATAACAGGTATTTTTTTCAGCTAGCCATAACATGCAATACAGAGAAGTATATTAAGTTTTAGTTATCCTAGTTGATTTTATTGTATCACCTAGTTAATATTATGCTCCCCAACCTGAGCATTCCTGATGTTTTGTAGATGAAAACAAGGACAAAAATACTTTTCGGTAGATTTTATCCTGAAAAGAAACATCTCCATAGGTTATTTATATCCATTCATGTGTCTAGGTACTCCACACATCCTGAAGTATTAAAACTGAAATCTTTTCTTTACACTTCCATGCTTTTTACTTTAATACATTGCTATTGAAGGAAGAAAGTCTGGCACAGCATTTTAATAAATATTTCAGAATTTAGGTCACTTACCCTGAAGTGGAAGACAAGTTCAGCTCCCTCATCTATCCCTTACTGTTGATGGTCCACTTGATATAAATAAAGGAGATGCTTACTGGACCCAATGTCCTTTTTCCCTAATTTGAGTCCTAAATCAGGAGGTTAGAATCATACGCTGACTTAGTCACTACCAACTTTTCTCTTCCCACTCATTTTCTGTCCTTGTCAAGGTTAGTGATTTACAGACACTCAACAGTGGCATAATAAAAAATAAATTAATTATTAATCATATATTAGTAATATCCAGGTTGGAAGGGGCTTCAAGGATCATCTGGTCCAACTTTTCTAGGTAGGAACTCGGTTTAGATGAAATGGCCCAACACCATGTGTTCCCCAACACTTTTCTTGTGTGAATTGTCCAGTATTAGGGAAGCCACCACTTCCCTGGGGAGATTATTCCAATGTCTGAGTGTTCTCATAGTGTCAAACCTCGCCTGAATCTGTTTCAGGTCAAGACTAGAAACACAGTCTTCCACCTCCTAGATGTGTCCTAACTAGCAGATGGGAACATGCACAGTGCCAGTATCATGCTCTGCAGTATCATTTCCTTTAGTTTTGAGTTAATTTGTGCATTGTTTTTTTCACAATATTTTTGTTAATTTTGCTGTACAGTAAACTTCTGCTGACTTTTCTCCTGGAAGGGGAATTCACAGACGCTACCATAAAAACCTCTGTCAGGAGCAGCTTATGTTGCTATTGTCTACTTATTTCTAATTCTGGGGGACCTCTCTGAAGCAATGATCTACAGATATAAGGCATAAAGAAGGTAGCCTCTATGATGTGGGGCTTATTTTAAGTGTGTGTGTTTATAGGCATAAAATCCAGCTAAAATATCACTCAAATATAGAGGCCAAGTATTTAAAAAAAAACTTGAGAAAGTGCATATAGAGAATACAGCTGCCAAGATTTCTTTGAGTAAGTATTTACTAAAGAAATAAATGTTCTTTTCCTATTTCTGTTTGAGGAAAACTATTTGATTTAAGAATATTCTGGGATTATTTCTTTCTGCTTTGTACTCTTTATGTGGAACTGCCTTCAGTCCTTCAAAACAAGACAATTACTACCTCCAGTTACATAAAATATTGTATTTGTTTCTACATGTTGAGTGATCATCTTAACTTACCTAAACCTTTTATCAAGACTCAGTTTGAGACCAATGAAGTATTCTGTCGACTCACTCCAGTATTTCTCCTATAACAGAAATGTATTACTTTTATTTAGAAAAAAAAACAACAATTAAGATCTTTGAAGAGAAACAAGCAGAAGAAGATGTGCCATTGCATAGGTCCACAGAGTAGTCACTGAAGTTGACAGCAGTAACACACGTTCACAGTTATGCACAGTGGTGTGGTTAGGCACTCAGGCCCAGAAGTCGGATTTTCATCTGGAGCATCAGAGCTGTGTCCTGCAGCATTGAGGGTGCTTGGGGTGGGGTAGGAAAGAAGCAGATCTGGAGTCAGAAACTGGTGCACATCTTTTGTTTTCCATCCAGGACTGCAGCACCACCTCATACCAGCCTCAAATCTCCCTCCCATAGCAGCTGCTTCCCAAGCCAGCACAGCTGGCACAGTCCCACATCACTGTTCCCACAGGCCTGCCTCACCACCTCAGCACAGCTGGCACAGAGCAGGAGTAAATCCCATGGGACCAAAGGGCACTTTCAGGGGGGAATTTAATAGATCTCATCTCAGGCAGATTTCACTAATGAAAATGCTGATGGCTCTATTACAGAGACAACCCAAGTTTTGCAAGTAGATTTTCAAAAGCATTTCTACTTAAAGGTGTCTATCCAAAAAGATTCTTACATTTTCTTTAAGCAGTCTCTTTAGAAACCTCCTCTCACTATTACTATTAACAACAGCCAGGTGTGCAGAATTCATCCTGCAAAACTCTTGGGCTCTTTCCATAGAGACAGATTCTTTGCTGATATAGTATAGCTGATCTTCATATATGACCCATCCATCTGCAGTGGTTTTGTATGCTGTAAGATAAATAAGGTAGCCTTAAATTTTATATCTGTAGAACATACAAGCTCATATTCCACTAACAATTTTGAAAAAAAAACAACAAATAAGGTTAATACATGTATGCAAAAACCTACCATATGTGTCCATTGGTTCAGATTTTAATGCTACTCCTGCAAAACAAGAGAACAGAAGGCATGACACATCTCTACAGTGTATTTTACCACATAGCTTGTGACTGACTGCAAGGAGCAGAGTGAGGAACAGGGCAGGATTCTACACTCCTTTGCCATTGACTAAAAAGCAGGCTTAACCATAAATTTTATGCACATTATGCAATACGCGTGGTCATCTAATTATAATTGTGTATCATAAATTGTGCTTCATGTCAGTAAAATCATAGCTTTGGCTGAATCATATTCCTGCACAGAGCTATCAGGAATAATTGTTACCCCATTTTGTAAGCCAGAGTAGATTTATCTGAAATGCTTTAAGCTTTGTTTTACGGCCCCTTTAATGATGCATCAGTGGATACAGCATAAGCCTCCACAGGGGTCTTCTTATCAAGACAGAGAAAATTTTTACTAGATTTACTTTAGCTCTATAAAAAGTTCTTTCGGTCCCAAATATTCATAAGCAAAAGGAAATATGGGTACATAAACTATGACCTACTTCTGATTCTGATAGAACAAGAAATGCTACTGCATTGAGCAATTGTTTTCCTAAAAGCAGATGAATCCTGAATATTATTAAAGGAGAATTTGGAGCACCACTCCAGGCCTGTTTCATCAGTTGTCCTTAACCATATTGTTATAGCTGTGACTAGCCTTGGTGTCTGGTGCCAAATGTAGCAACACAACTGTGAGCCTGAAGTCTTCTCTTATAGGGAGTGGCTTCATACAATTTCTGAAGGCAGCAGAACTTATTTCTACTAAAACATTTTTCTTTGGAAAAAAAGAAGTCTGATCTGGAAGAATGAAAATATCAGATACAAAAGTTTCAGTAGTGTCCAATAGTTTGCTGGGTGTCAGACGGAAATCTGGCACCTTTAGGGCTGTGCAGGTCTCTGTGGCTGTCCCCTGTGGCCTCTTAGGCTGCCTGGCAAGTGATGTGTCAGGGGCTGGTCAAGGCCTCTATTACCCACACCAAGGGAAACAGCAGTGGCTCAGCCAGCTCTGGGACGTTCAGCATCAGTGTGGGGCCTTAGGGCTGCAGAAAGGCAAAACAAAGCCTGCTTCCATCCACCTCCCATTACCTTCTCCAACCTCTTTTAATTGCCCATAATTTGCAAATTTCAAGGCAAAATTATGTTTGGTATATTATAATATTGTATTTGGGGTTTAGTTTTACCTGTGTTAGCATAAAAAACAGTATTGTAAGGAACTGACAACTCCTAACTACACACATTACATAGAAAAAAATATTACTAATATTCAGAAAGCTTGTAATGTATGAAAGTCTTGTGAACACATGGATTATTTATGCATCCTCATTTAAACAAATACATACATTTATTTATTCTCATAATCTATCATTGAAAAATGATGGCTCATGTTATTTAATGCTCTTGACCTCCATTTGGCAAAAATAGTTTTCAAAATATTTGTCTTTCTCCAACGACTTATATTAGAAAGCACCTAATTATAAAGTTATTTAAACTTCTTGCTTAAAGAGAAGAATAAATCTACCTTTTTTTATTTGACAAATCCAATCAAGCTGTACTTCACAGACTGAAAGGAACCATCCCTTAGAAAATCTCCCTCCATTGAGCAGGCCACAGAACTTGTATCCTCCTGAATGTCTTGGACTCTCGTCCCAGTTTATGTACCTAACCTACAGAAGAAATAATTTTTGTTACTCTTTCCATCTCTTTCTGCAGTTTTACTCTCTATTGGCAAACAGGAACAAACTTGATTTGTCTTAATGTTTCTGTCTCACGCTAAAAAGAGGTGCAAATATAGTGAAAGCAATAGATATGAGAATTTTAATAGCGAGGCCAGGATTTCAGAGACCAGGAGATCAGGATGTCTTGCCATGGAGGGCTTCTCTTCTTCTTTGAGCCTCAAACCCTAGGCACAGGCAGAACAGAAACAGACAAATGTACTGTTTCTAATTAACTTCTAACTATGAACTCCACTCCCTTTCCCACAATACTAATCAAGCGAAGACGAGGTAGCTTTTGCATCAACTGTGACATGGTTCAAAATTATATTGTCCAGCAGACAGCCAGTGCCAATGACCATACCTGGCATCAGTCCAGCCTTCACATCTTCCACCTCTGAGGTTAATGCAGATGAGAGTGTGGTTTTTTGGGAGGAAAGTCACACCCCACAAACATAATGGAGTTTCCTCTGAAGAAATCAACATCCAAATGGGAATGAAGAACCATTAGATATAATCTACTTGGGATTTTCAAAAAGTTCTTGCCAAGATCTCTTCCCAAAACTTATAAGAAAACTAATGTGTTACAAGAAAAGAAAAAGGTCCTTGCTTGGGTTAAAAAGTAGGAAATAGAGAGTAGAAGTAAAGGGAGAGCAATAAGCAGTGGAATCCCACAGGAAATTTTCAAATATCTGTGGATATTTACATGGGCTTGAGAGATGACTGGATAAACGCATGGAAATAGATAAAAATTAAAGCTCTGAGCTCTGGTTCTGAAAGGCCCTGAGCCATCCCTTGCCATCACTTCTTGGGGAATGCAGGAGTACACTGTGAAATATGCTTGCTGTCCCATTGGCTCTTCAGATGCCTCTGGCCACTGCCAGAGACATAATACAAGGTCAGGTATGACCAGTTTTTATATTCTGACATTACGTGTTAGTATCATATTCTTGGAAAAGAGGACATGTTGGAACCCTGTTCAGGAAGCTACGGATCATTATAAGAGACAGATGATTTTCATATATTCAAATGTGTTGCTCTGATTTTACTCATAGTAATAAAGGTTAACAGCCATGTAAATGTTTGCAGGATTATTGTTCTCTTTTAGCAGGATAACAGCAAAAACACAAAAAGCTTATGTACAATCCCCCAAATATCTTACGCAACCAAATATAACGGAAAATTAAAATACTCACTGGAGAGCCATCACTCCAGGCAAATCCTTCATCTGGATTCAAGGAAAATATACCAAGCCAAACTTCATTAAAGCTACAGCGACTTTCACTAACAGAAATTGCAAGGCAGAAAAGTGTGTAAACATCAACACAAAAAACATTCAGGAAAAGACCATTAAGCTCTGTACAAAACATTGTAAAATGCAGTAAAGTTGTAATAATTAACCTCTTACCTTTGGTGAAGGGCATACAGATGTGTATGTTCTTCACATAAATGTTTAATATTCCTATGGCTCTGTGGCTTATGTATCAGACCTATTAGTAGTATTGATTCTGTATTTTCTCTATGTTCTGTTTTCTTAGGAAAGGCCTTCACAGATTCAGAAAGTGGTCTCAGCATTTACTACTTCAGGGTGAGTCAAAAGTACATATATTGGTCATGTTTTCTACCCTACTAACAATGCTGCCCCCACAACTTCATGTATTTCTAAATAACTAATCATTATACTGTTTGTTGCATTGTTTGGGTTTTTTTAATTTCCTGGATACAAACAATTCTTTTTTTCTTATGAAACAGTTAAAACAAATTGTGAGTAGAAAATTTTTCCAAGTATTTCAAGTTATTTAGCTTTTGTAGAATCCATATGTTTCAGAAATCATCAAAGAGCATTGATAATAGTTCATATGAAATATTCCTTCCATTTGGTATGGTAAGCAGATACTCACTACATTGCTTGTCTTAGTAACGGTATCTCCTCTTTACTGTTAATGGTGACCAGGTCCCCTCCTATGTGTCTACAAAAATCTCGAGCTTCAAGCCACGATTTCTTTTTAGTATTTGTTCTGCAGAAACACTGTGGAGAGATTACTTTAAAACGCATTATGTATGTTATAATAAAATAAAGAAACGCAGTCTTTCTCACCCATAAATGAGGTTTCATACAAGCCAAGTAAAAGTCCATAAGTAAAACAGCATTATTTACTCTGTTGGTAAAAATTTTGATAGAATCATAAAGTTATAGAATGGCAGGGGCTGGAAGGGACGTCTGGAAATTGTCGAGTCCAACTCCCCTGCCAGAGCAGGACCACCTAGGCCAGGTCACACAGAAATACATCCAAATGGGTCTTGAATGTCTCCAGAAAAGGAATCTCCACAACCTCTCTGGGCAGCCTGTCCCAATGCCACATCACCCTCACAGTAAATAATTTTTTCTTCACGTTGAGGGGGAACTTTTTGTGCTCCAGTTTGCAGCCATTGCCCCTTGTCCTATCACAGGGCACCACTGAAAAGATACTGGCCCCTTCTTCTTGATACCCACCCTTCAGACATTTGTATACATTAACAAGATCCCCTCTCAGTCTTCTCTTCTCCAGAGTAAACAGCCCCAGGTCTCTGAACCTTTCCAGCTAGACACACTCTTCTTAATATACCCCAAGATACCATTGGTCTTCTTGGCCACAAGGGCACATTTCTGTCCCATGGATAACTTGTCCTTTCGTCCTCCAGGACTTCAAGGTCCTTCTCTATGGAGCTGCTTTCTAGCAGATCAGTTCCTAATCTGTACTGGTGCATGGTGTTATTTTGCACTAGAGCTGTCTAGCTAGTTAGTGTAGTGATAGCAAACAAAGGGAAGGGATTTCTAGAAGGGAATACCATTCCCTTTAACTTGTTTTACCTAAAGGAGGGCTCAGTCCACCTTCCAGATGAAGGGAAAGGAGAGTGATTGTGGTGGAGAGGCAAGGTGGCCTGGGAGGAGTCTGAAGACACAGGCAAAAGAGTGACCTTGTGGTAGTTTGTAACTCTGACTTTACATGCACAATATGATGTCTAACTTTTTGGTAGTTCAACAGAGAATAACCAAAAGTTTGAAATAAGCTAAAAATTGTTGTTTGGGGATAAAGTAACCCAAACAGAACAATTCAAAGCCCTTAATCTTTTAACTATTTAGACACTTACTTTAAAACAGGAATTACCATGGTTGTTTGATACCCAGCCTTCAGGGCATGTGGGGACTGGAGCGGTAGTTGGCAGAGGTGAAGCTGTAGCTCCCTTTGCCCACTGCTTGCAGATATATCTTTGCTTTGTCTCACAGTCAAGAACATTCCATAATCCAGCAGCACTCCCAGTTCTCATGGCTACACATCCTGGTTTACTTCCTTCATGAGAAGTAAAAAATACATTGGGTATTGTACACAGTCTAAATTGTTTAGTTTTCACCTAAAATCTTTGAGCAGTGCCCATTCAGTTCTGGCCATAGAATAGAAGTTATATTTTAAGTGTTTTTTACACAGCTGAAGAGTATTATTTTCCATTTGAGGAATTCATGATCAATTCAGAATCCTGTTGCTTAGCTATTTTTTTTTTAATACTGAATGTCCTGTATCAAGAATTCTGTATGTAGAAAGCAAATTTCAGTTTTTGCAGTGAAAATCTGCTATTTCAAGTGAGGAACTCATTTCTATTTAGGTATCTCAGTTCACATAACCTCAGTCATTGAAATTTTTCATATCACAGAAACATAGGATGCCAAGCTTGAAGGGACTTCAAGGATCATCTGGTCCAACCTTATATGGAAATTAACTCCTGGTACATATATAAGGCAGGCATGCAAACCTCTTCAGAGACATGATGAATTTTGTGCCATGATGTTTGCTGTAATTTTAGTACATTCTTTCAGAGGTGCATACAACACAGAAGATGCAGTCAAATGCACACTATGGGCCTATACAATGGCTTGTTTGTGTTCTTTCCTAATTTCCTATATATTCTTAACATCTTCTTTGCTTTTTTATTCCTCTTGAGCACAGACCTGACATATTTATGGACCTGTCTACCATGGTGCCAAGAACTGGCTCCTGAAATGTCAACTATAAGCCCATATTTTATGTCAATTCAAGAGAGGGGTTTTTTTTCCTATGAGGATCAATTTACCTGTATCAAAGTTCACCTGCAATTTTACTGGTCATACTCAATCACACATTCTGAGATCATCCTGCATATTCTCACAGGCATATCTTCACTATCAGAAAAAAAAATCAGTATAATCAGGAAATTTTGTCACCTCACTATTCCACCTTCTCCAGATTGTCTGTAAATGTGTTGAGCAGCATGGGCTTTGGCACAGATCATCATGGGCATCTGCCAGTGAGCACTCTTCCTCCATAAAAAATATCCCCTCTGCAATAAAAACCTTTTCTATTCCTTGCCTTTTGATCAAACTTTTTATTCATGTTAGAGCTTTCCTGTGTCAGGTCAGACTAGCTAAAAGGCTTTTGGTGACTGAGGTAGACCACACTGACTAGGTTTCCATTATTTGTATGCTTTTGTCTCCTCTGAGGAGCTCCAGGAGATCGATGAGCATAACCTCCCTTTATACAAGGAATTTAGATATATTTTCCAATATATCCCCTTTATCTTATTCTTTATTAGAGATTCAACTAATTTTTTTTTTAATTAACTCATTGGTCTACATTTTCCCTCACGTCCATGAAACTGTTTTAGATGTTGGCACCAAATTTGCCTTTTTTTCACCTCTTAGCTCTCAAGGCATTTTACGAGGTAGTTACACATTAGAGCAAACACTTCACTTAAGATATCCTTTACAGCTCTTGGATACCTTGCTGCTCTTCTTTATCTCATGTGTTCATTTGATAAGCTATTCTCCTGGTATTTCAGCTTGAAATAAACCTTCTGATCAAAACCTCAAAAAGAAACTTCCCAGCACAGAAAGCTCAGTTTCTCCTTCAGTGAACACAGATGCAAGGAAACTAATTTTTCTTCACTGTTCTTGACTAGTCTATACGTTGTCCTTTTATATTCTGATCATCAGCTGGCACCATAGACTCCCTGGCAAGTTTTCTTCTCATAGCTTTTACAGAACTTCTAATATTCAATGTATTTTGATTTTTTTTCTTAATATTTTTATTTTATTTTACAGTTTAGAATCTCCCTGAAGGTTTCTGAAAAAGTTTTCAGAAAAATGACCACTAGCAGGGATGTAGGATGTCTTTGTGAGACTCAATTCTTTCATAGCATTTTTAAATCTTATTTTCTGTGCTGCTGCATATATGATCTTATGAATGCACTTTTCTTAGCATCACAAATAAAAGAAGTAATGGTATGATCATTTTTGATATTATGATTTTGTAATTCTAACTTAAAATCCATATTACACTTGCTCTGTTTCAAACTCTCCCAGGCTGCCTTTACCAGTAGAGGGATGAGTGTGGAATAATCTCAGGAGTTTGCCTGTAACTCTTGTTTATCTCTTTGTGAAGATGAGCCAAAAGCTTAATCGTATGGGTAAAAGTATCAGATGTCTTGATATAAAACTGCAGGTCAAACTGTTCCCTTTCAAAATAAAAGATGGAGTTTGCAGTTTCCCACAGAGTTTTAGAACTGTAAGCTCTTGTAAAGTACACTGAAAGCTTAAAGCATAAAATTCAGAGGATTTTGCCAATGCAAACTTAAACAGGGACCACAACCTCAGAGAGCATCCATTATCCACTGTCAAGACACCTACCAGGCATTGTTGCATCCCAGTGAGTGAAGGAAACTGCTTCACCATTGGCCCACCTGAAAGTGCCTTGGTCCTCCACATCAGAGAGACCAAGCCAGAAATATTTCTCATGCCTCAGTCCAACAAGGCTAGTCAGATAGGCTTGTTCATACCTGTGAAAGGGATCATAAAGACAGGAGTCATCAAACAAAGTCATCAAATCCTACTTTTGTAATCTCATGATAAATCCTTTTCCCCTTTCCTTGCTTCAGACTGGGGGCAAGGTCCTTACGACAGGATTCATAGTCTCTGTATATCAACAAGCAAAAGAAAGACTTTTTTGCTGTGTAACTAAGAGACCTCATCTGTAACTTAGATAATTTGCTCTTTGACATCCTATTAGAATTGTAGTTCCAAGAATATTTCAGAACATACAACTTTTATCAATGTAAAAGTCATCATCATACCTACTTTCAACTGTGGCTAGGTAACCTTTTTCTCTTTCACAAGTGATGTTTGCTTCTGCAAATGTTGCTGGAACATGTCCAATAAAGTAGCAGTATGTCCCATATCTTCTCCAGCCCTGTAACATGATTTTTAAAATTCCATATAACTTTTAAATAATTGCGATATAGAGTATTAAGTGACAGATATCATTTAAAAATCAATTAAGCACAATAATAATTAATGTTATTAATTAGAAACATTTGCAGTGAAGTTACAGATTCTTTCTAGGTGGTTTCTGTAAATGGTTTTCTGAAGTTTATAGTAGCTGAGAGAAATTTATAATAAATAAACAAAAAAAGTCTATAAATAAAATATATAATTAAAATAATTTTGTACTACTCTCAGATGAGGTATTTATTTCACCTGAGAAATCGATGTTCCATTCTTATATGCTTACTTTATTGCAACCTGCATCAGTAATTTCCGTTTCACCAGCTACTTGTGATACAGGTTTTCTCTTACAAATGTAGCCAGCTTTCTTCTCACAGCCATAGTCTGCCCAATAGCCATCCTATGGCAGGAAAAGGAATGAAATCACAATGAGATTAGGATGAATAATGTAAAGGAAATTAATAATTTCTTTCTTTGTAACAAAAACTATTCATTTTCTTTCTCCTGTCATTTTGAAACATTTTTATTTTTTTGTTCTTATCCAAGTCTCCTAGCTGATAAGAAAAACAAATTTTCTCACATTCAGTAAATAGTAGACTGGGTTATTGTAGCACAGCTATGGCTGGTAGTGATAAGAAGAGATGAGGAAGGTGGTACCAAACCTGTTCTGCAGGGCCCTGTACAGGCAGCTGTGCCATGCAGGGGTGATTAAGGAGCCGGCACAAAGGAGGCGTCAGGAATCCCCAGATGTCACCAGGGGAAAATGGACAAGATAATGACTCAAACTACATTCAGAGACCTATTTTATAGCCCTAATAATTTCACCATTGATTTTTAGATGAACTTAAAGACAAAATTTCATCAGTGATGCAGTCATATTTTCTTTCTTTTTTTTTTCTTTTTTTTTTTTTAACAAAAGTTCATATTTATTCTCAGCCCTTGTTACCACATCCTTTTTCTAGCCATAGCTAGTTGCTGGAGTAGTGGAGCACGTTATTCTTTTATTGAGAAGTTAGTTCCAAATCTAAAGTAAAATATGTTACCTGGCCCTTGATCAGTACACAATCCTCTGGCCTGTTGCTTGTGGTGGATGGCTCTCCCAGGTGCCATTTTGTGTATGTCACTGGGGTACCATCACTCCATTCAAAATACATTTGAACCTTACGATCATTTAGCCCAATCCATAGCTTGTCTGCTGGCTCTAAAACATGGAAGTGCAGAAATAGGTAAGACCTTCTATGCCACTGCATCCTTCTCACAGCACCCTCAAACTCTAGAACGTATAAACCCTTTCATAAATTCATGAAGCATAAAATTATCTAGTGTTTTGCATAATCAGTTTATAAATTAATATTTTAACATAGATATTAGAATAAAGACAGTATGCTTTGGAAAATAAGGCTGTAATGAAATCCCTGGACTGGATTATTGTTTTCCATCTGGTAGTGTAAACAACTAAACCTTTTTTTTAGTGGGTTTCTTCCATCACTTCTGCAGAGACCTGTGAATTTGCTGATTTTGGTGCTGCTTGACCACAAGACACAAAGAATGACTTAGACAACCCCTGTAAGTTCCCCAAACACACAGAAAGCAGTACAAATATGATGGCTTTCAAATAAATTGCATTTTTTCAAAGTGGAAGTTAGATTTCATAATACTTTCACTAAGAAAGCTTCTCACTGGGATGAGTAATGTCCTCCTACCCTCATGCAAAACAAAACACAAGTCAGGACAGTTGAGTAAGTCTGCAAGTTGCAGCACAGAAGGCAGCATCCATTTTGAAGGAGGGAGGAAAACACTGCACCAGCCAAACCCTCTGGACCTCTCGTTCCTTGCCTGTCTTTGACTACATTTTTTCATGGTAATACAATTGTTACATCTCAATTCAGCTAGCTGGTACTTGCATGTAGGCAAAGGTAAAACTTCCCCCCTGGAAACACTCACTGTACCCAAGCCAAGACACCATGAAGCTGTGCTCCTCAAGGCTGTGGATGCTGGCCAAGTGACTCCCTTCCTTCTGACAAGAGGTGAAAGCATCTTCCCATCCTTTGGTCTCCCTGAAGACCTTGTAACAGTGTTCTATATATGGTGTCCAGCCATCTGGGCAAGTAACAGGCCCAATGTCACCTAGGAATATGTATCAGTGTTTTAGAGAAGTTCAAAAGCCATGCAAGGGACATCACACTGACAATATTTCATTTATTGCTGTAAAAGTGCTAAATGAAGAATTTTCTTTTCAATTTCTCATTAAAAGGAAATTATGGATGCACAACAGTAAACATAAATATGATTCTAAATCTGACATTTTTTAGCTTGGAAAAGGGAAGATTTTTAATACAAATACTATTAAGGGCAAATTGTAAGATTCTTACATAATATCTGTAACAAATACACTTATGTATTAATTTTAACAGCTTATGTATTCCTTGTTTCTTATTTGTCAGATAAATCCAAAATTATCTACACTAAACATAGAATACTTAAGATTTTTTTTTTAATTAAGTATATTCATAGACTAAAGGTCACCTAGCCAGATTTACAACTAGATTTATACATAGGGAAACACCAACAGGAAAATCTTTGTACAACTGAAATATCTTTTATCTTTGCAATGTGTCAGTCTTCCCTCTTTTCCTTATTTTTACTAAAGCATCTCTTCTGAAAAATAATTTTTTGTTTATTCTCCCTTTGCCTGCTCAGTAGTGTGTGGTTTTAACGGAGACACCTCACTACCAAAACACAGACAGACAGGACAAGTTGGAAATTCTTTGCTTTTACCTCCTGTGTGTGGTGGGACTGGAGATCAGCCTGGGAATGGTGCAGTGGTTGTAAAAGGCAAAGCAGATAAACAAGAAATAGTTTCTATTTCTAATTCAATTCTCCTAGTCATCTTTGTCAATGTCAATGCCAAGCATTATCAACACACATCAACACACCTGAGGGAGCCAAGGCAAAGTTTCTTCTCTTACAGATGTAACCAAGTTTCTGGTCACATTCCCAGTTTTGCCATTTAGCTTTTGTTTCAGGATTCAAAACCACACAGAGTTTTCCAGATTCTGGGGAGGGGCTTCCTTTGGGAAAGGTACAGGGGGAAAAAAAAAAAAAAAAGTGAACTTTCCAGAAAGGCAAATGGAGCTCTATCCTCTAATTCAACAGGAGAAATCACTCCTGGCTGAAACAAGAGCCCCAAAGATCACATCCTTCTCAGCTTTGGCAAGAGCTGAAATGCAGTATCATTCAAGCGGATATGAAGATGTAACCCCCTCATATTTTTGTTGATAGAAGAAATGGAAGACTGTATATTTTGGGGAAAAAGTATTGCTTTCAGAGGTAAATTATTTATGCAATTCATAGAAGGTTCTGCGTTATATTGCTATGGAAAAAAAAAAAAAAAAAAGCTTTTTCTAAAGCTGAAGCAAGAAAAGCTAAAAGACATATCTCATGGCATTTCTATCTGATAATAAAATGTTATTTGAGATATGTATATTTTTTCTTTAGAAATACAGAATTGAAGAAAGTCACAGCTACCTGGAGCCCAGTTTAAGTACTGGAAAGGGGTGCCTCCAATCCATTCCCATCCACTCCTCAAGTCCAGTCTGTTTAGTCCAACCCACAGTGCAGAATCTGTGTCTTTTGTTAACTCTAAGTAACCAAAAAATATAAATTATTTTATAAATACATTTTTTTAGCAATAGTCACTAATAATGTCTCTATGAAGACTTAAAATTCTTAAATATCTAAGTAAAAATATCTTTAGATACTGAGAGACCCAAAAAATTAGAACATGCTGAAACGTTGATCACTGTAAAAAACAATGAACCAAACAAAAAAAAAATCCTTTCTTATACTACCACCTAATGCAAAATAAGGACAAAAGAGATTCCAAAATGAAACCATTTCTGTAGAATAGGCTAAATTGTGTACGATTTTGGATTTATTTAAGTAGAAATATTAGTACAGTGTAAGTATACATAACAGTAATAAAGCTCTTAGAAGTTAAATTCATACCATTCCTCCAGAAATACATGGGTAGGTAGAGACCTGATGTGGGATCTATCAGTAACTGATATTTTTCAGTTTGTCAAATGAATGAAAAATCAGATGTCATATTGCATTTGACATAAAACACATCTTTCTTTTTTTTTTCAGAATGGTATCTTTTCTCTCTTATTTTCACTTTGTTTTAAAGGTTCTTTTAGAACAAAAAATGCAATTCTAATGTATTATTCCCACTTTTTTTCCTCTTTAAAAAATAATAACAATAAATCAATGTTTAATATAAGACAAGATTTTTTAAAAGAAAGTCAAGCTTTTACACTTGCAGGATGGAGTACTTTGGATCGTGTTTAAACTTGGTAGTGATTTTGATAAGGATTTGCAAATTCTGGAAGGTTTTCTTTGCTTAGGCATATTTATGTCCATAGACATCAACCAAAATCATACCAAATAATCCTCAGCTGTGAAGATGGACTGAACAGATCCCAAATGTAAGTCATAGTTTGTTTTACCTCCTTACCGTTAACGTATGTTTGTTCATGAATATCTGTGATACTCAGTAATTCTGCATTTTGCTGCTGACAGCTCTTCCTGGCTTGGTGCCATGTGAGAGCAGATTCAGAGTTTATTTGGTAATGGACATTTGTTAACAGATCTGTGACCCAGGTGGTGTCTTTATCTGTGGAGAAAATTATTATTTTGGGGGTTATAGTAACTTATTCACAGAAAAATGAGTTGCAGTTTCTTGTTTTGCATGGTATTCTCATTAAATGTCACAGGTACTTTTCTTTCAAGAGCACTAAAAATGTTATGAGTGGGATGGGAGAGGATATAGTTAAGGCTTGTAACAGGTAGAGCTGATAAATATTACCTCCTGTTCCATGAAGATACATAATTCAGGGATCTCTAAAAATGAAGGGATTGCATAGAAAAATGTATTGCATGGAGTGCAGCAGCAAAAATCCTAGATAGAATCTATAAATAGTTTTAAACTGGAAGAGGGGAGATTTAGGTTAGACCTTAGGAGGAAATCCTTCACTATGAGGGTGGTAAGACACTGGAACAGGCTTCCCAGGGAAGTTGTAGAATTCCCATCCCTGAAAGTGTTCAAGTTCAGGTTGGACAGAGCTCTGAGCAACCTGATCTAGTGGGAGGTGTCCCTGCCCATACAGAGTGGTTGGATCTGGATGATCTTTAAGGTCTCTTCCAACCCAAAACATTTGATGATTCCATGAACATGGCATTTCCTTGTGCAGAGAGCTGCAGAACGTGGCAATACATCATACAGTAAAGTACACTCTTGTAAACTGTGAGTTATTATAAAGATATTCAGATTCTGCTAGTGTTGGTTTGACAATACCACACTGAAGGGAAAGGCATGGGAACAGGTAACTTGCCTTTTGATGGGCAAAATCCGTATCGCTGGTCTGTGTCATAGTTTGCAGTGGTGGCACACCAGGGCCAGCCATCAGCCCGGCCCGCCCCTGTGCACCCACTGTACCATTGCTTGTTGTACATGAAAGGAAACACACAGGGGGCCCCAAAAGAGTTTCCTAGCAGTGTGAAGATCTCTGAGGAGACAAAATGATAAAGACAGTATGGAAAATAATAAACAAATGTAAACTGTGATAAATGTGACACCTATGCTGATGGCAGAATTGCATCTCAAAGTGCTTTCCATGTTACCTTTCCAATAACCAGAGCAAAATTCCTTTCATAATCTTTTCATAGTTAAGCTGCTGACATATGTTTTAGATCTGTACTATTCTGATGTAAAGTAATTTTTCATAGAAGAGGGCTACAACCAGACTTCTGTTCTGACCAAGATGCTTTTATAAATTTAATAAGGTTCCAGAGCTCTATCCAAATGTATTTTAAACAACATTAAGATTTCTATAAAATATGCAAGAGGAGGAAGTAATATTAAGATGTCCCACCTCCTGGCAAAAGTAAACATCAGGTTAGACAATCTGTCTCTGTTTTTACTCCAGTGACCATTAAAGCATCTCAAATACAGTGGAGTAGCTCAGGCTCAGGGGTGAATACTTAATATATGTTGTGAGCTGGTTTTAGAACGTTCATTCTGAACGTGGGAAAGCCATTCAGAACAATCAGACTTCAGCTACACAATGGACAATTGCACTGGTAATTATAATTATGCCATGAGCATCTTCATCTGCTGAGTCACAAAAGCCACACTTTCTCTACCTATACTGATACTTTCATCCCTTTCTCAGCTCATGCACATTGTGCTTCTTACTTGAGGATGTAATTTTATTTTCATATTGTTGTATAAGAAACTTATCAGTTTATATTCTCTGTTAACTGTGTAGTGACACAGTATCATGAGCCATAGTGACTTCAGAGAATAATTATATATAGTATGAGTAAGTATGTATGTATAAATGTACATACTGATATATAATATATATTTGGAGAATATAGAGAGAGCACATGTAATACTTATAATACTTGTAATACTAAAATAATTTGATGTATACACTAGAATACTGTGTATAATATATACATATATATAAAATAGGCATGCAATATGTAGTTGACAATAAATATGACACTAAATTCAAGGATGATTCCCTCAGTACCCTGGTTTTCTCTGGTGGTGACTGAAGGAATCAGAATACTCAAAGACCCAATACAAGCTAATACTGACAAAGAAATTAGCACAAGGGGTAAAAGAATCAATTTTTTATACCTTCATATCCTTGGGAACATAAAACATCCATGGCCCCATAGATATTCCACTTACTCTTTTCACTCAAGCCCTTCTTTAAAAAAACATGATCATGTTCTTCTTTGCCAGGACTGAAAAACAAATCTTCTCCTTGGATTGCAAGGAGGCTTTCATTTCTGCATTCCCACCACTGGAGCTCACTCGTTCGATTACATGGGTACAGAGTGATCACAGCCTGATCCTCCTTTGATGGCACCCCAAGACATAGGTTCAGTTTCACACTCATAAGCTGATGATCAGTGATCCACCTGAATTTTTGTGATTCATTGTCTTGATGGCAAGTGGCAGTTCTGACTGACTGCACAGCAGATGCCTGAAGACAAAGCTTGCTGATTTTATTATATATTAAAAATGTTTCAATGTCTGTAAAACAAAACAATTCAAAGTAAAATACTAATATAGAATGTATATATAATGGGTATAAGATCCCTCCTCCCATTTGCATGAACAGGGACTCATTGCTTTCCTATCAGATAAAAACATAGAATCATATCATAGAATGTTTTGAGTTGGAAGGGACCTTACAGGTCACCTAGAGCCAACCTCCCTGCATGGGCAGGTACTCCTCCTACTAGGTCAGGTTGTTCAGGGTGCCATCCAACCTGGCCTTGAACACATCCAGGGATGGCACTTGCCCAACTTCCCTGGGGAACCTGTTCCGCTGTCTCACCAACCTCACAATGAAGCATTTCCTTCTAATGTCTAACCTAAAACTCCCCTCTTTCAGTTTTGATCCACTACCTCTTGTCCTCTCACTACAAGTCCTTGTAAAAAGTCCCTCCTCATCTTTTCTGTAGGTCCCTTCAGGTACTGAAGGGCACCTATAAGGTCCCCCCTGAGCCTTTGCTTCTCCAGGCTGAACAGCCTCAACTCTCTCAGCCTGTCCTCATAGGAGAGATGCTCCAGCCCTCAGATTATCTTTGTGGCCCTCCTCTGGAATTTCTCCATGAGCTCCATGTCCTTCTTATGTTGGGGGCTCCAGAATTGGACACAGTACTCCAGGTGAGGTCTCACAAGAGACAAGTAAAGGGGAAGAATCACCTCCCTTGACCTACTAGCCACAATTCTTTTGATGCAACCCAGAACACAGCTGATTTTTTGGGCTGCAAGCACGCACTGCCAGCTCCTGTTGAGCTTCTCATCCACCATCACCCCAAAGTCCTTCTCTTCCGGTCTGTTTTCAATCCATTCTCCACCCAGCCAGTATTTGTGCTTGGGATCACCCCAACCCAGGTGCAGGACCTTGCATTTAGCCTTGTTGAACTTCATGAGCTTGGCTTAGGCCCACTTCTCGAGCCTGTCAAGTTCCCTTTCCCCCCAGCTTGTTGACTTCACCTCACACTTTGGTGTCATCAGCAAACTTGTTGAGGGTGCACTCAATTCCACTGTCCAGGTCACTGAGAAAGATGTTAAATAGCACTGGTCCAAGTATCGACCCTTGTGGAAGACCACTCACCAGAGGTCTCCATCTGGACATCGAGCACTCTTGACATCGCACTCTTTGAGTGTGACCATGCAGCCAATTCCTTACCCAACATGATGTCTTTGTATGGAGTCCAGTGCATCATCAACATTATGGTTGCTTTTTTTCTCTTAGACCTGCCCTTGCCTGTTCCCTGCCACTACGAGGTTCCCGTCTGTATTTCCCAAACTAACAATGCACATGGAGGCTCTGCCGCAGAACTGTAAATCACCCAGAAATGCCAGAGGACATGGAAGCCCTTTCACCAACATCTTTACAGGAGGAAAGTGGGAGGCACTTACCCACCAGCTGCAGAGCACCATGAACAAGACAGAGGACCAGCAAGAAATTGGAGAATATCATTTCAAATCCTTCATTCCTTTCTTGCCTTCACCAAAATCTGGATGGTCAGAGTTGCTAGCATTTACGTCCTGCT